TTTATATATTCAAAAGCACTTTTATACTGATAGTAGTAACGACACCATAGTCCACTGATCTTACTTTGTTTTCACAATTTTAAATTAGGTTGTATTCAGATAATTTGCATAAATTATTTTAATATTGTTGATTGAATCCAGGAAGGACATAAAATGTACCACCACTATGATAAACATGAATACTATTTTCTTAAGCTACCATCCTTAGTGCAAGGACCCCGTGGTAAAGGCATAACCTATTTTACTGCATAATCGAATAGGATTTAACCTTCAAACCTTAATATAGAAACGTGTTATCTTTCATTCAGGTATAAATCCCAATATGACCAAGAAAACTAGCCTTAGTACATTTTAAACGTACAAGACGCACACACAAATAAACTAATTTATTCATAATTAAGAAACCAGTTTAAAGTCAGATTTTGTTTGATTTTGGCACGTCAATGCTGAAGAAAACACAGGATTAACATGAGTGAACTCAGATTTATCCTTGCTGTTCACTTATGGTTGTTCTTCGATATCGAAAAGAATATTCACTCGCCCTTGTTTTACTCTGTAAAAGGAAATGTAATTTAATGTCACATATTAATACTAATAATGTAATCTTTACAGAGTTCATAAGTTCTACTCGAAGTCATTGTTTCTGGAATTGGACCAGTATATTGTTATGCTATCTTCTTCTCAAAGGTGAGTTAAATATAAAATTATTTTTGATCAGTTGAACCTGCACAGTGGAAGACTGTAATAAAGCCCTAAAGGTATCCGTTAATTTTGACGAGATGGGCAAGGTGGAGAAATTTGGTAGATTTATGATATTCCTTACTCGACAAAAAACGAAAATCTATAGAAGACTTTTATTTGAAACGATGTGATATTGATGGTTTCTCGAACAGGTTGGGTATACCTTTCTCTAGAAACACGAAGCAGGTAAATAAGTTCGGAGTTAAGTTTAAATTTAGCAGTGTTCTACACTGGCTATTCAAAGACCGTGCTGGTCATGCGACGGTGTTTAATAATTGTTTTTTTCTGAATGTCCTCATGGTATTTTAACTCGGTTTTGGTACAAATTATCACCCAGATTGTTCTTTTATTATGGCATAATGAAGTCAATCACAGCGTAAAGAAAAACATGTAACTTCGTCTTTTCAACTCAAAACTCGGTTACAACAGTAAACGTTTTAATGGATATTCTCTACTTTGTAAAAGAATAATTTTAGATTCGACTATGTAGTTACATGGACAAGTTGATTGTATACAAAACTTGGAGCACATCTGCCAGGGCGTCGCTAACATACTTGCCCTAAAATTTGATTCGCGAGTCTTATATTATGATAAAGGTTTTCATGGGGTTTTAGTTTCAGCAACACTAGTGAACAATATATTACTCCAATTATGTTAATGCTTGGATTTTCGATGATTACTTGGGTCATTTAGAATAACATGTGGTCTTCATTTGTCCATTCGGTGCAGAACAGTAGGACCTTAAACACCATTTTATGTTATATTTTGGACATGATATTAGTGAAAATTGATTACATTTATCTTTGCGAGAAAGTTAGTGACTTTTTAAAATAGCTCTCACTGTCTTTTCTTGTACTCAGCTTCCTCGTGTCTTGACCCATCCGAACTATTCGAACCCTGTGATCGATGTCGATTATGTGGCAGAGGAGATTATAGTTTGATACGTGTAGTACGTGGTACAAAGCAATAATTATGTTAGACGTAAAATGTTTTGTGGCCAAGTTTTCTCTATCCCTTTATCAAACAACCTGGTTGGTTGGCCAGGTGAAAATGCCCGAGGGATACCTTTAACCCCGTGTCACATATCTCGTAACCCCTGTTGGGACTACAGTCCATCGAGTTAATTAAATTACGCTGCGGCTTGGTTTCAATGACACATAAAACACACAGAAATCGTAAATCAAGCGTGGACAATATTATAAATATTTGTCAGCAGGTTGCTTCTTAATGTCCGGTTTCACTGTTTTCTAATTGGCCTGAACTGAAAACAAAGGTCACCCAAAACAGATTAAATTTGTACTAAACGGACAGTGCTCCATTATGTTATGCAATCAGACAACCGTTTGGATGGCGAGACTCCGGGGTCAGAGGTTGACGGTGTATTGGAAAAGAAACTTCGTGTTAGACTGTTATTCAAATAGTCCAGATGGTTCATAGGTTCACAGCTATCTCAAAATTTAAATGAAATGAAATAGGGTTTACCATTTTGCTTTTCTACACCGACTGGACTAATGAAGACGGGCATACGTCATACAGTGTGCTATGAGGGAAATTTTGCATTGGGCAGATGTGCAACAGCCTACATGTATTTCGAATTCCATCCGAACGACTATACGTTGTCACTTGCCGGGCATCCCATCCTGCACCACTGACAAGGGTCCCACGCCGAAATATCACGATGAACTTTCCCAACGAACACCGGGATCGAACACGGGAACTCCAGGTTTGCACGCCAACGTCTTACTCACTGAGACACAAGAGCTCCCAGTAACACATGTATCACACAGTGGGGTTATTAATACAACTGGGCGCATTCATGCGTTATTTATATAGTGTATATAGGTTTGTAATTATTTGTTTGTTAAAGTAGCCCCTGAAAAATGCAAAAGTTTCTTACGGAGGTCCTAGGATCAATCCGTGTGTTGGCCGAGAAAATTGGACATCCCCATGTCAGTAGTACAGGACGGAGGACATAGCAAGGAAACTGGCGTCTAGTCGTTCGAGTGATACAAAAAACCGAGGTCCACCCATGTACTCGTTGGCATGCACGTAAAAGAACCCCTGGAATTCGATGAAGAGAAGGCAAAAGTGTTGCTGTTGGCTCGCTAGCTTGGAGGTTCCGTGTTAGATCCATCGGGATTTCCCCGCGTGGTTCCCTTTTGTCAGTGGTGTAGGGCGAAGGGCCTATAGTCGTATAGACAACGTATAATCGTTCAGACAACGTATAATCGTTCGGAAGGGACAAAAACCGAGATTCCTTGTACATATTGGTGTGCACACAAAAGAGCACTTGACAGTTACAATTCGAAATAAAAGTAGGTCGTTGCGCAGCTGTCCAGGCAACAGTTCCCCCATAGCACATCGCATGCCGTATGTCCGTCTTCATAAGCCCAGTAGGTGCAGAACAGTAAGACGTTAAATCCAATTTCATTTCATTTAACCTGTACGTGGAATAAGACCAGTGTGAGTGGTGGAACACTATGTTTATTTGTTTTATGAAATCATGAAAACATATTTTATGATTGTTTCTGGAGTTTTCAATTTTATAAGTTATAGTTTATAAATGTATATCATATTTGACTGTTATCTGTCTTTGATCTTTTAAAGGATCTAGTGCGCGTGGAATCATAAGGTCTGTCATTGAGTCAAGCGATTGGACATTATCCCCCCCACCCTCTCTCCCTCCCCCTCTCTCTCTCTCGGTGAGAACTAAAAACAAACCTAAAGCTAAAAAACAACCCAAAACTAAATAATATTTAAAAGTCGCATATGGGCCACCGTACCGTATCAAATGTACCGTTTTCTCAGGTAGACAGATAACATTGAAAGGAATATTTAAGTAAGCTACATATTGGGGGATATAATCCATCATAACCTTTAAACTTTGACAGTGCCTAGGTCAAATAGTCGACCTATATGTAAATATTGATGAATAACATCAGACAACATTTTAACACGAACAATTATATTACCGAACGAGTTCAACTAGTTCAACTACTTATAATGGTAATTAATGAGGCAATTTATGATATAGTTTTATATATTATCGATCATTGACTCATGTGACAAAGCAAGTGTGAAATAGCTCTACTTAACCACCGCTTTCATTATGAAGTGTTATCGCTGACAGTTGACTCGTGTTTTTTATTGCCCAAGTCATCAGGTAGTATAGATAAATAAGAGATTAACATGTTACGCTAGCGATGAAATTGTATATTATTACAGGAATACAGAGTATAATGATCGCCACCCCTACGTTTTCGCCCAGCAAGCCAATTATAGACATAACAATGTACCTTATATGTTAGTCCCGAAATGACTTCTCTCACGTGAACAATGAATGATGTAACAGATAGGTATCACTTGAAAGAGAAAAGCAAACAAAGACAAAGGTTCTCTTGTTATATAATTACCCAGGTGTTATCAAACAATGGCTTAACTAAACTCCTATTAACACTTTCATTTATATTTAAATAAAATCAGATGAAGTGGGGTTTAACGCCCTACATTTCTGTTTATATTTAAAGAGGTTAAGATACGTATTGTATGCACAACAATTGTTTTAATTCTGAGACACATGAAGTAATATCATCGCATTCTTCGTGAATGACTATTTCTTGTAATTTGGATGTAACCTACAATTAGATGATAACAATAGGTTTTACTATAAAATAGTGCTTATAGTATTTGATACATGTGAACGATTTGGCTTGATGTCTCTTTGATTAGAAAATTATCTATCTAAACTCGCGACGAAACGTTTTAACCCCATTACATTCATTGCATTGTTCCAATAATTTACAGGTACACGGACTGGTCAATTCAAGGGAGATAATTCAAACATTAATCAGGAATAAGACTAGTAATCTTCCCAATTCACCCTCAATGTTATATTAATGGCCTGTAACATTTTTGTAATATTCCGGTGATCATAGTCTGTATAACCACAAAGAGTCCAATATACCACAGTCATCTGATAAAAATATAGAAGGCGGTAAACCATGAGAGAAAATGGAAATCCAAAAATTCTCCTTCGATTATAGCCCAAAAATTCAACGAAAAAAAATAGTCATGCATAAATGGGAAAGAGAGAATTATTTAAACATATAAACTGCATCTGCAGTTATTATATAATAATCAAACGTTAACATGGCTGAATTTTGACGGTAATGTTTCCCTTGGTGCTCTAACGAATTATTTCTGTACTGCTTTTATTTTATTTTTTAGGTAATTTTGTATCAGCATCTACGTACTATAACCTGACTGCAACTTCGTCTTCTGCAGAACTTGTCTCACAGAATTATCCTAAAAGATACCCCAAGTAAGTCTTATTAAACTCTATCTTTTCTTTTATATATAGCAGTGTAATGTCCGGAAATTTTCTTGTTTCGCTTCACGATCGAATGTGTTCTTGGAATTTGTAGATCACGTCTAAATCAGCTTAACACTTAACATAATTTAAAAATGTCCTCCCATACATATTTTAGAGAAAATAGCGGGTCAATTATTTTATTATCATATTCTTAAGGCGGGTTGGGGTGGGGGTGACTAAGTGAGTAAGACGGGGGAGCCACGGCCCGGTGTTGGCCGAGAAAGTTCATTGGGATTTTCCGGCGTGGTTTCCTTTTGTCAGTGGTACAGGACGGAGGGCCTGACAAATACAGCAGACTAGTCCCGTGTACTCCCGTTACTCCCGTGTACAAATTGGCATACACGTAAAAGATCCCCTGGCAATTGGAATTCGATATAAGAGTAAGCCATAGCGCCACTGTCCGGACAAAATGTCTCTCACAGCACATTGTATTGCGTATGCCCGTCTTCATTAGCCCAGTCGAAGCAGAACGATAGGACGTTAAACCCCATTTCATTTCATAAAAGAGGGTGTGACATTAAATGCCAACTAATACATAGACAACCCGACATGACAAAGTGAATGTTAAAATCCGTCACAACGGCATACAGAAACAATTCTAAAAGTAACAGAATAATTATGTGATAACTTTTCTAAGAATCGCAGTCATTCTTTATGAACTTGCCATGGCGTACAAGTCTCGTTTATTAAGACGACTTATCTGACTTATCGCATTCTGAGTATCAATGCCGAAGGATTAAATGTTTTAAGATGAAACTTATGGGAAGTACACATACTGAAAATAATTGTTCAATTTTTATGCTTATGTCTATCTTTTGATTCCCGCCGTAGAACGAGATTCTCTCAACAGATCGCAGGGATATATCGAATGGGTGTTGACAACGATAAGTCGTGTGGCCTAATCTACCCATTGGCATACAGGTAAAAGAATCCCAGACAAGAAACGCCACTGACATGCTACACACATGGCCATAGTACAGAAATTAACCATATGTTAGTCTCAAAATTACCAGAAGATCTTGTTGACGATACGTTAAACCCGATTCTTTCCATTAGCTAACGTTTTGTATTTTAATATCTTTTTAGTTCGTCAATTTATTATTGGCTTATTTCCACCAGTGATAAAACAGCTAAGATATCTCTAACGGTAACAGATTGTATGATAGAATATGATGATGCTTGTCAACATGATTTCGTTAAAGTGTACGATGGTAAGTATATACGTATAATGTATGTTTTGACAGTTTATTTCTTCCATATTATTTAAATGATCTGCTTCAGTCAACACAGAATAGGTAACATGAGGAGGACTAACAATTGCTCCGGACAACTCGTCCCCGGACAACGCGACCACGGACAACGCGCCCCCGAAGACAATTCGTTCCGGAAAATTCGTCTCCTGACAATTCGTCTCCGGAAAATTCGTCCCGGACAATTCGTCCACGGAAAATTCGTCCACGGACAATTCGTATCAGAAGTATTAGTCACATAGGACTATTAGTCCCCTAGGGGTATTTGTCCACGGACAATTCGTCCCTATGAACAATTTGTCCCCGGGCTATTCGTCCACTAGGACAATTCGTCCCCTAGGACAGTTTGTCCCTGAACAACAATACCGGTAGTTCCATTATCAAAAACTGAATTAGTCTTTACTTTTATCCAAAATCCCAGTTTTTATGCTAGTTTAACATCGTTTTACATTTAGTATTAAATATAGGCCTTAACTTAATGGTTCATGAAGTTTTTTCGGGCTAATTGATATGCATGTAGTAATCAGCTATGATCAGTGACATCTTTTTATGAGTTAAAGAATCTATACTCAGCCAAATTAAAAACTTGACACTGATGAATTTCAACAATTTTTTTTTTCTGCTAAGTCAAATAAATTTTAAAGTGTTTCTAACGATAGTAAGTAGTAAGAAGCCTTTAATTTCATAAAATTGTAAAGTCACGTGGATCACGTGACTTTTGACCATATAAAGACGAAAAACCTGAAAAACACGTGCAAACACAAACTCGTGAGGTCAATCGATGCAAGTTTGCTTAAACTGAACACGCACACGTAACTTGAACTGGAAAAACAAATTAAAATTGTTATTTTCATCTTTGTTAGAAAATGCCGCGCCTTTCAAATGTAGAACGTCTACGTGCTATAGGTAGGCTCTATGCTGGTCAGTCTGTGGTCACTGTTGCAAGAGCCTTTAATTGTTCACGCCAGACAATATATAATCTTAGAATGAGAGTGCTTCAAAGTGGAACTATTGCCGACCGCCCAAGGGCGGGAGCGCCACGTGTGACGTCACTCCAGGAAGATCAAGCAATACGATTACGTCATCTTATAAACAGATTTGTCACTGCAACCTCCACAAGTAGAGAGATGTTTGGTGGAAGGGTAACTGCACAAACTGTTCGAAATCGCTTGCAGACTGCTGGTCTTCGAGCTCGGAGGCCCTATAATGGACCAATATCGACACCTCTTCATCGCCGTAACCGACTTGTGTGGGCCACAAGACACATAAGATTTACTCAAAGACAGTGGAATTCGGTTGTCTTTAGTGACGAATCTCGATTCACTTTGAGATTTGTCGATGGTGTAATACTTCTAGTAGAATTTTTGCTCGAGAAATAACATATTCGCATAATATGTGATATGTACTTAAAATACTTAAATCAACTTAGTCTGTAATTGATAGTTGACACATAAAAAAGAGCGATTTATCGAAAACATATGTCACTCATTTACCACCGAATTACACGTGAGTGGAATTATTCTAATTGCATCATTTGATTTAAAGTAACCAATCATTTTGTTAATTACACAAGTTCAGGGCCATGATCACGCGTTATTGTGCATGATATTCACTTACCTTTAAAAGAAACCGGGGAACCCTGTAAGTCAGACTTCTATTAGGTTCCAGAGGGCTCACATCTGAGATCCTAGACAGCCGCGAGGCTGGCTAGGGTAGAGAAATGGTTTTAGCTTGTATTGTTATCGATTATGCTTGTATACCTGTATTCAGCTATATATATATATATATATATAAAATATGTAGAAGCAAACTGTTGCATTGTTATTCCTGGTAAGACAAACGTCTTAAGAAACTGTAAGAAGTAAATACACAACGTGAAGCAGAAGTAAAGACAGCTAGAGACAAATTCTAGACGATCACAAGGCTACAGAAATATGTAGTAAGAAAAGATGCATGGGTCGTACGTAGGATGTGGCGACCGGTTCCCTTAAATCTGCTCTCCACGTCAGACAGAAGACCCATGGTGCTACAATGGCAGGGCCCGAGTGTACCGCAGAAGAGGTGAACGTTACGCTCAAGTATGCGTCAGAGAAGTTGACCGATTTGGTGGCGGCAGCGTCATGGTTTGGGGTTCTTTTTGTGCACATGGACGTTCTCCTCTTGTTGTTGTCCAAGGGAACTTAAATGCTGTCCAGTACAGGGATCAGATTTTGCAATCTGTTCTTCTTCCGTTTATGGGCCTGGACTAACGTTTCAACAAGATAATGCTCGACCCCATACAGCAATTGCTACCCAGAATTTTTTTAAAAAATGCCGGTGTCCATGTCCTGGATTGGCCTTCGCTTAGCCCCGACCTTAATCCTATTAAACACATCTGGGACGAACTGGGTTGACGTGTTCGTCAGCAAGTGAATCCACCACTGACGTTGCAGGACCTTCAACATGCTCTTGCTGAGCAGTGGCGACGTCTTCCTCGGGTAGTGCTTACTAATGTTCTGAGATCCATGAGAAGACGTTGTGTGGCAGTACGAGAAGCTAGAGTAGGCCACAACCGTTACTAAACACAATATTCCGATTGTTCTCCAAGTCTGTGAATTTCATTTTGGGGGGTAATGTGACATCACGAGACGTATTCTTGCTTTCTGTTGATGTCAAGGTCGTCTGTGCACAACATAACACTAAAATAGTTGCCATAAACCAAATATTAAAAATCTAGTCCCAAAAATCCCGAGTGTCAAGTTTTTAATTTGGCTGAGTATATTTATCCATTCACTATGGGTATTGTCCATTGTCAATACTGCACTTGACTTATAATCAATATGCATTATTATGTATGATAAAACAATGTAGACCAGACATCAGTTAGTTTCAACTTCTTCAATTTCTTTAGAATTAGCTGTTGATCATAATTAGGGGACGAATAAACCTAGGGAACGAATTGTCCAGGGACGAATTGTCTTTGGGGACAAATTATCCGGGGACGAATAGTCCTACGTGACTAATTATCCAGGGACGAATTATCTGGGGACTGATAGTCCTGGGGGACGAATTGTCCGCGAACGAGTTGTTAGGGGACGAATTGTCCAGGAACGAGTTGTTAGGGGACAAGTTGTCCGGTTACGAATTGTCCCGTACCCGGGTATCTTCACCCTCTTGTCAGTACTGCTATTCACTAACCGGTTATGCGTCCACAAAATGCAATAGAATATTTAAAGTCTTGTTAAAACAATATTTATGATGTTTTTATATTTATATAATAATAATATTGTTAATTTGTATTTCTAAAGCCTAGCTCAAAACCCGCCGTACGTGTTTTGACAAAAGTCCCTACGGCAAGTCTGGATCGTATAAGGTCCCGAACACTAAGTCTCGCGGACGGGTTTACTAAAATTTCCCCCGTAGACTGTCCGTAGTAGCACGCACGACGGGTTTTGGGCCAGTCTCTACGCACTTGTGAAAAACATCTTCAAAATCAAACCGTGAAACTTCTTTTTCGTCTATTTTGACAATTGGCATTTAGTATTAATAAAGCTCTTCTAATAAAAGTCAGTAATTGTAGTTGGAGATTTGGCTTTGGAACTAGAACTAAATATTTCTTTTCTAAATGTATTTTCAGGACCGAACGACAGCTTTTTACGTATTGGCGTATTCTGTGGTAACACTCAACCATCCTTTCATTCCACGAAGAATACCATATTTATAAAATTTAAAACAGATTCGTCCAAACAATATCGTGGATTTAAGATTGAATATAAAAGTAAGTACATGTACATATACGTCATCGTCTTTAAAGTCATGTTCACACATTCGTACGGAATTGCAAGGAACTTATATTATTATAATCATTCCAATATTTCAATCATTTCAATTTGAGAGTGACATTTACAACAATCATTGTCTACAGGGCATACAATGCTCGGGATATAAATTTTACGCCTATACCGTGGCGTCTCTGCTTTCTTTTCTTCGAATTCTTCGGAGTCGAGAAATGCGGCCATTTTGGACTCCGGAAAATCCCCAACCTCCCCAACCGGCCTACAATTAGCACCTCCCTACAAAGTCATATAATATATAAATTACGGTTTTACGCGGGTTCTACCTAAGCTAATGCGCTATAGTCACAGATATCTAAGTACCATACAGTCTAGATAGGGTCGTGTAGGTTATTTATTTTTACGACAAAAGGCACCGTAATGCTAGGTTTACACTGTTGGACGTTTTATCTGTAAATGGTAAAGATTTTGACGTTATTCGTAGACTAGATGTTGATTGTATAAACGCAGAAGTTAGAGTCGTCAAGCGTTGGAAACAGATACACTTTTGGTGAGGAAGTTGGATTAACAAAGACTTTAGTGTAAAGTCTGCATGAATTGTTCGAAATTTCAGTTACCGTAGTTTTTGTTTTCATATTGGAGTCGCGTCCTTTTGTGTAGATACATATTAGTAACAACCCCACATGATCCCACCTAAACGAGTAGGGAACTAGGCTTGAAAAATTCCCAAGTTCTTCTTGACCCATGCCAGGAATAAAACATCGGTTATTATTTTCTGGAGCCCAGTGCTGTGACAGCTCGAAAACCGTGGCCATGACGTGACAAATGAGAGAGAGAGAGAGAGAGAGAGAGAGAGAGAGAGAGAGAGAGGGAGATAGAGAGATAAAGAGAGAGGGGGGGGTAACGTCCACTCGACAAAACTAGGTCATTTCGGGAATAACGTAGGATTTTATTGTAGTGGGAGGGAACTGGAGGGCTCAGAGAAACCACGAGGATGGACTAGCGACCTTACTCCTATTTTCACGTATAAGCGGGGTATCGAAACCCCTCAATGACGGGTTAATCCCCCAGCTGACAATTAATAAAGGAAATAAGATAAAGCCCAATGTCATATACGTAAGGCGGAGAGACAAATTGTTTCTTGACTTATATTTATTGTGAATTAGTCAATACAACATAATGTACCACCACTGGATAAAAGCATCATTTTATAGCATTACAAACTTTTTTCAGGTATTTCATCAGAAGACGGCGAAATAAATTTCTCCACCAAAGCTCTAGTGTGTACCGTCATGGGATTGCTGTGTACATTTCTCTTATTTATACTCGGGAACTATTTTCTCAGAACTGCTCGCAAAAGTGGTCGTGGGCCTGCCTCCAGGTTGAGAGCGGCGTCCGTCGTTTACAGCATTACCAACACGGGACAGACGATTGTTTCTATTGAAAACGGAACACGGATACAAAGAAGTTCATCTGGGCATATAGTACGTGATGCTGACGGAGACAACGCGGAAGAACAATCTTTACCACAAGGCATTACGAACTTTTCATTACCACAAAATATATCCAATGTAGGCGGATCCGCTGAAGGATTTTCAATGGTGCTCAATGTTCAAGGACTACGATTAACACCCCCTTCTTATGAATCTGTGGAACAAACTGACAGAGAAATCGCCAATAAATTTCTATCCGATCCTCCACCAGCGTATGACAGTTTGGTTAGTGATGTAAATTAGAGTTGATTGGTGATTGTACTGAGCAATGGTGAACTATTAACCCTTAACCAGTGCGGAGATAAGGCTAGGGGTGTGTCTAAGAAAATAACGAGCGCTGTGGAATCTTATAATATTCATATAAGGTGATAGATCATGGAAGGGTGCACACTCCTGCGATCCAACCCAAAGTCGTGACAATACCAATTACTCACCCATCGTGCTCTTGAAATACCCACATCCATTATCCAATCAATGGGAATTCAACATTAGAGTACCGTGGGGTTCCGAATAATTATTAAAAAGCTTTCGTTGTTTCATTACTAGCTTTCGCAAAAGTGGAGGGACTGAAAGTAGGCAGACAGTGAATCACACAGTGTTTTGTTTTATTCTAAGATTTATTGTGAACAGAAAGGAGCGGTGTTAGTCAATTTATAAATACTAAATACGCAAATAAATATGTCCTCTTATATTGATTATTATAAACACCATACATTAACATCGATCAGGATGTAACATTTGGCTGTTTAATGGATGAAAACATCGAATAAAACGTTTTATAATAAGGACTTTTACTGTATACAGTTTGACTGCTTTTTAACACAAGTACGATAGTACTATAATGGACTATCAACCGTTATCGCATCCATCTTTGAATTGGGACGTCATATCAAAGATTGAAGCCTCTGGACCAAACTAGATGTTTTGTACCTGACATTCTAGTTTTTGTGCTGCGTGTATAACATGACTGAGCTATGCTATTTAAATGCCAGATCTGGTCATTCTATAGGGAATGTAGTGGAGTATTCTCCAGTCGGAGGTATTGGTGTTTGTGAACTTTAAGTCAACAAACTTTATTCATTGTTGTAACAGAACTAACAGATTGTGCATTTTACCAAGAAGCATAAAATAAGTTTTGTGGGAGATGCAGTGTTGTTTTGTACATAATAATGACTAACGATATTCCATTTTCTGATGTGATTAAACATCTTTATCCAAATAAATCATTATAGGACAGATCAAGAAAAGGGCTTTGACGTACACTCGATAAAATCTACATGTAGGTCAGTTTTGGACTAAATTAATATTGGGCATGTTATAGATTTTTATTTGTTGTGAATGCATTGTGTGTTTGTGTAAAAAAAAGGTGACCTATTATATGGTCGTTTTTTGATATGGCACCGGTATCTTCGTGCAAAACTAACGATAAAGACGTTTTATTTGTATAGTGAAACATATTTACATTATCTTTGATGCATTGGTCTTATAGTACGGTGAATACCAGCTCATTTTAGTTTGATCACTGATGTGACCAGGGCCTCAATACACTGTACATCATTGAAGAAATTAAATGGGGTTTAACGTCCTATTTATCTGAACCGATTGGGCTTTCTGCGACGGTAATTGCGCCGTTCATGTTTTTTTTTCATATGAGTAAAAGGACTCGTTATAGTTCAGTCTCAGTCGAGGCCAGGCTATCTGTACGCAAATAATGGGCTATATCTTGGGTTTTTTTTTTAAAAAAAAGAAACACTAACTGTGCTTTATATTCTTATATATATGTTATTTATTGTTTCCCGAGGTCATCTGACGCGACATTAACCCAATATTTCATAAATGCAGTCATGGTGTGGTTTATAGTATTTTGTTTTACTTTTTGATACATATTTCTTAATAAATCTTTTTACATATGAATAGATCATTTCATTCTTAGTAGCATACTAGCATGTTGTTAGTACATAATCTCTGTCCACGTTATCCAGTAGCTTTACCTCCCAACAAAAGTATAAACACGAAACGAAATAGAGATCTTTATTTTAACCAGATTGACCAGTTCCACAACCTTACAGAACAATATTAAACAAATAAGAATCGTGTACTAAAGGAATGAATAAACCTACCTATAAGAGTTATCGCCCTTAGTCATTTTACATTAAAATACTCGACATGTCTTATGGTCTTCTGTTGAATCACACTAGGTCTTTAGTTAGCGATTATCAGGGATACAAAGATACACAATCGTTATAAAGTTGATCGCTTACTTCATTAGATTACGAAGTAATACCACGCGTTGTTCAAAAAGATGACAGCTAAAAAAACAATAAGGTTGAAACAACTGCCGTTACATGTTATGCGAGCGACTAGAACAGTCAATACCATAGACATCGTAATGCGACTGAATGTATATACATGTATTATCCCACATGGTAAATCAAACAATTTGTTTTTAAAATACAAAGAATGACGCCTACCAACAAAGTCCTACATTTGGATTAGTACCATTTTCGTAGCATTTAATAATATGTCGAGCCGTCTTATTTCCCCTTAAATAACCAACAATTGGCATGTTTTCATCAAATATCTTGATCGTCCAATAAATGACACGTCTCGCCATTGTTGTGTTGTAAGTGAAATAGTGAAAATTTGCAAATCGCTATAATCATAATTATTTTTTCATAAAGTTGCAAATCCCATCGTGCATTTCACTGCTTAGCCGTTAGGTAGGAAACTATTTTACAAACTTCACCGGTTTGGATAAAAAAAAAAGAAGCCTATCAAAATATTTTACACAATATAGGTGGTACTGGTTTGTTTTTTAAATTTACCACTATAACTGAAAATTATGAAATTGACAAATATAACTGAAAAAATCCATTGTATCTAAAATTAACGACAATAACTGAAATGAACCACTATAAATGAAATGAACCGCTGTAACTGAAATAAAGCACTATAACGGAAACTAATCACTAGAACGGAAATTAAGCACTATAACTGATATTATTCATTATAACTAAAATCAACCAATATAACTGACATTCAGTGAAATTAACCACTATTTCTGAAATTAACTGATATTAACCACCACTATAAATAAAATGGGGTGTTCTTACATTGAAATACAAGTGAAACCTTGCCGGGTACTTTTACGATTTTGAAAAAAAAAATTTAACGGCTACTCAAGATTTGATGCATAAAAGATGTCGCTTTAAAAATGTAAACGCATAACCACAAAGAGAAACTGTTCAGTGAATATTTGAATGGTTCGCCCTTAAAGCATTTATGACGATATGTCGTATTGAAAATTATTCTTTTGAGGCTATTTATACGTGCACAAAACTCTACAATATCGCGGCTACGATGGGGTCGGAGATCATTAACCTAGCTCTTGATTAAAATAAAGTTTTTTTTAAAATATCATTGTCAATCTCCATATTCACATTACATGTATTTATTTCTCTATTATGAAACTGACATTATGCAGAATGAAGTGGATAATTAATCTATATTACTACCCCATCTTCTGTCCATGGCTTCGCTCAGCTTTCACCAGTTTCTGATCCAGCAGCTAGTTATACAGATCTAGGGGCCCGTGCAGCCTTTGCTACACTTTCCAGTAGGCCCATGCAGTGCAGGAGTTATTTTGAGTTATTATATTATAACAGTTGGCCTCAGGCTCCTGTGTCGGAGCGCCCCTTTTACTGACCGCAGAGCTCGGACGGGGGGGGGGGGTCCCCCCTGGAAAATTTTGAAAAATGAACCCCATATATGCGATTTGGTAGCATATCTGATTATAATCTATGTCACATAATACATCTCATAAATCGATTAATTTAGGCCAAAACCCCGACCTGCAAGTAATTTACAACCATCAACCTGTGAAATTATCATATCGTCATATTATTAATTAACGTATTATCTTTGTATCGTCAAGAGTCAAGAGAATTTAACTTGTTAAAAAATGGGACTAGTTAAAAAAAAATTTGACCATTTGATTAACCAGTTAGGAATATTGAATAAGTAGGAATATTTTCATTGAAAAATGTCCCGTTTTTGTTGCGGGGAACGCTAGTTGATTCCTCCTGTGATGGAAGGCCACGAGACACATTGGTACAGAGTGACGAAAGTGAAATTCATGAAAGCTGCTTTTTGAATTTTGGATTTGTTGTTCCAGGGAAATTATTTTACCTGGACTCCGAACGTGAACATTTGACACACTACATATTGATTAATGAACATAGCATTAGTTCAGATAGTGAATATTCGAGTATAAGGCAACACAAATTTAATTATGAGAATTGCGTTACCCTCGACATTTTTGTCAGGAGCGACGGGCGGATATTACAAATAAAAATAAAATTTGATCTTGGACGCAAAATATAGCTACCCACAAACAGGGTGCAGGTGACTTAATAATTAATAAATTTGCGGGCGACATTGTCGGGTGAATCCGATGAAATTTTCAGATGAAATTCGGAATCCCCATTACAGGATTCTGAATTCCGGCCGACACCCAGTACACCCGGTCCAGAAAGTCTATTATACCAGCCCATTCCAGACTCCAGTGATGGCTTGGCGGCCCGTTAAAGCCACCGGCCACATACAACATGATCATCATCGCTCCATGGCCGGTCCAATCCCCCCCCCCCATATGATGTGTTCAGCAGAAAAAGTTTTTTTTAGACGAATTGGACAAAATTATTTTTTTCATTTTTTGTCCGACCGGCCCTTTGGGCCCAAAACGCTCGATGGCTCAATCCGCCCCTGGAACTTGGTATGAGCTATGTTGTGCTATTATCTATACTATAACACTAGGCCTATGTTTGAGTATTTTGAATTATTATATTATTTCAGTAGACCTATTTGCTATTGTTAAAATTCAGCAACGATACGTGTAGACGTAGATTGGATTAAAAGTAATAGGTATGGAAATAGTACTACTTTTAATTAAAGAGCGTGTCTACTTTTTTCAGGAAAGAAAATGAACCAGACTACCAAATAGTTATGTTTGACCGGAGGCACACGCGTAGAATTTTGTTAGTTATGCTGGGCGTTGCACTAACCATTACATTCCAGTACGTGTCAGGATCTGTTTTGGAAAATATAATGACTGCAAATAAGGTGCCAATTACCACAACTGCGCGAACAACTGCCGAGATTTTACACTGGGATTCGACGAGGTGGGCCGAATGGAAATGCTTCTGCGGAGGCCCATATTCAATTCGACTCCGCGAGTTTACAGACAGACTGCTGGAAACCTGGGCAATTTAATGGAACTTATACACATGGCGGGGGATAAAGACTTAAATCTTTTAGATACTGGTCCACATATTGGTCAGTTCTCTTTAATGGCGGCTAGGATGGGAAGAATGGCGATAGCCGTAGATCCGTTACAGGAGAATGTTTTACGTTTATGCAACTCCATCGAATTAAATAATTATAAGTAGCTAGTGAAAGTATTTTATGTAGCTTTGTCCGATTCTGGAAATACCGCCGGAACAAAAATTAAATCTGTGAATAAAACAACTGGAATGTCTTTTAATCCAAATATAATTGATACGGTATAGCTAGATGATATATTACCTTTTAAATTAATACCGTTTAAAAAGGCTTTTATGAAAATGGTGTTTTAAAGGAAGGTAATAACTTGTTTGCTACGTTAGACATATTTGCCCATTGACTTCAATGTTAAATGGCTGTAACATCACAGGCTGTAGCTTTTTGCTCAACATTCCGTTGGTTCCAATCTTTATAGGCACAATGGGGACCACATTTGGCAATCTCCTCATCATAAACTTGTAGGGGGTTGACCGTTTAGATTTTTTGCTACGGGGATTTGAAGTTGACTGGGGTGAAAATCTCACTTCCGATACAATGATTGCTCGGCAGAAAGACATTTTACACCCCTTATCCCTCCGCTGTAATATCATCAGTATTACCCAAAACTGCTATAAAATTGCAAATTTGATCCCTTTTCTCCTATTCTAGACCAAAAAGTCAACCCAAAAATGCAGGAAGAGGGGAGAAAAAATTAAGGGAACCATCATGAAATAAGGGGAAAAAATTACTAGTCTTAGTCTTTTGTCCTTATGGTATGGGTGCAACACATCAATAATTCTACATCAGCCAATGAAATTATTAACTTTATGAACCTTCACAATTGTTAAGCTTATTTAGTTAATAATAGCACTAAGCTTTTAGAAAGTAATGACTATAAAAATGTCCATGGAATGTTTTGTGGAAAAAGTAAATTTTTATTCATATTTGGTTGTTTTATTTTTGATGATATAATGAAATAAAATAAAATGCGGTTTTACGTCTCACTTGAAATTTGATATTTAAAATAAATTCCATGAATAATTTGAAATAAATTCTATGAATAATTTGAAATAAATTCCATGAATAATTTGAAATAAATTCCATGAATAATTTGAAATAGATTCCATGAATAATTTGAAATAGATTCCATCCATGAATAATTTAAAATAAATTCCTTCCATGAATAATTGGAGATAAATTTCATACATAATTTGTAATTTGAAATAAATTTCATGTATAATTTAAAATAAATTTCATATATAATTTGAAATAAAAATCTCCTATTAAAGTAAACAAGGTAATAATTACAGAGCCTCAACCATTGCGTCTGATATGCAGTAATCACACGTCACGGGATAATCCCGCCCATTCATCGCCTTGCAAGTGTAATAAATAATGGCGCTTACGTTTTCATTGAAGTATCTTGAAAAAAATGGTGTTTTCGTATCAAACATATTGTCCCAGGGACTAACACATGGTTCAATTTTATTTCAATAATTCGCTTGCGCGTAGGGGTCTTTAGCAGTGGGATGAAACCGGAGGACCCGGAGAAAACCCACGAGGTTGGCCAGGCGACCCTACACCTTGTCACGTACAACCGGGGAATCGAAACCTGACTCAATGACAGACCTGATGATACAGCGCCCGTTCTAACATTCGGCCATCCACCCCCGCCCCCAATCGCCTTGCAAGTGTAATAAATAATGGCGCTTACGTTTTCATTGAAGTATCTTGAAAGCGATGGCGTTTTCGTATCAAACATATTGTCTCAGGCAGTTTGGATATGGGAGAATTACAAATTCTTTATTTTTTTAAATTTAATTTGACACGATCCCGGCTTGTAGTAACCATTATGATCGCTGTAGACATTATACAACTAGAATAAGTGGTGGATACATTCTAATTTCAGAATCGATTTTGATGTATTTAGTATCAGGGCTATCGAGGGAATATATATCTAAGATACAAAACAATGAGCGCAAAGTGTTTGTTGAACTTGTCTAATATATATACAAACTGTTAAGACAGCCCCATCTGCTTGAAATTCGACCATGCTATCTATTCCATTTTGGGGATTTCACACATTGTCAGTATGGAATCACTATTGTTTTTATTTGAATTGTTGGTTTTGTTGTTCTCAATTTTGCTTATTTCTGAGACACTACTGTTGCTGATCAACAAAGAAAATGCTTCTGAAAATTTACAACATGCCAAAATGTTATACTGAAATTTTTCACGATGTAACTTTTTCAAGAAACATCTTTACATTATTGGTATTCTGTTTTCGAAAATTAAAATAGCTTTCGTTTTCCGTTTAAAAAATTGAATTTAAGCACGTTTATCCATTATCTACAAGGGAGATTTTTAAAATCTCAGTTACAAGCCAACACACCATTCTGCAATAATGCAAATTTATTTCATGCACAATCTAAACAAAGCAGCGGCAATCAATTTAAGAGAAATATTATGTTAATTATAATGATAAGTAACACCCACCCCCCCCCCCCCCCCAAGAAAAAAAAAACCCAAAAAAAACCCAACAACATCCAAACCCCTAAAAATGCATTTTAAAAGAAAGCTAGTTCACAGGGAATGAATGCAAAAATAATAAAAACATGTACTAGTAATGTTAACTTAAAAATAACATCTACTAACTAATTATTTTATAAGTAATATGAAGTGGAAAATAACATATAGCAAATACTACGACACCTTTTTGTAATGGAAAATAGCAAATAATAATCAATCAGTTAATAAGAAATTTAAAGATCAAAATAACAAATACTAGAAAATATTTTTATAAGGAATTAATAAACCCATGCCAAATTATATTATAACCTACACATTATTATGCGTAATTAAGGATACAAAGAAAGCGTTATCTTAATATATCTTAGACATTTTTGTTAGACTAAAAATTCCTATAAACCACATTGTAAAAATATCTAGCAGACAAGCATCATACACAAAATAGAATTTTGCTATAATTGGCTATAATATGAACTTAAAATGAAAAATGAAAATATAAAAGGGATCATCAGTTCATAGCATGCATTCTCTTGTTTGTTCTTGTAGTAGGTAACGTTGCCTTTGTCGGTTACTCTGTAATAATTATAAATATAATCATAATCATAATACCCCTAGTCAACACAATCGTTTGGTCATTTTTAGAATAAATATCGTTATATTTCATTTTTATTTGTTACTCGTGCATTTCAAGAGGATCATCTGACCTGAGCTTATATGGAAACCGCTGCGTGCACGACAAAATTTTACAGGGGACCTAGGTTTTGTGTCTGATCCAAACGACTGAACACACTTTCATTATCAGTTCACACTTTCATTATCAGTTCCGTGGACGCAACCCTTGACAAGTGGGGACTTTTTAAAAGTTACAGCTCATTCTGGGATTCGAGCCTAGAAAAGGACATTCAGTTTGCGAGTCCAATGTCTTAGATGAACATCAAACGGGATCCAATAACAGTACACGTAATAATAAATAATAATCTAAGCAATCAAAAATATCAATGCAATAGAATTCTCCAAAATAATCTTCTTTTAGTTAAAAAACGGAAATTTAAAAAAAAAACTAAATAAGAATAATAGAAGAGTCACTTTAATTTAAATATAATATAGATAAGTTTTATTACCTAGACAATATCCAGATGACTCCAAAGGTGAACTATTCAACTTATATACAAAGAAATCGTTTCTACAGTATTTGACCTTGATGGCAATGGACTCTATACATAGAGCAGAATATCTTCTTACACAAGCTGTGATAGATTGATTCACATTCAACACTTTAGTGGGTGCAGCTAGAAAAAAAAAGAATTTCAAAGTTGGAGCGCATAGCACATATTGTATAAAGCAATTATTCTCAATTTGGGACGGGGAAGAGGAGGGTTGTAAAAAATCTTTAACACGAACCTGCGAATATAATCTGACATATTGTGATTGCTTGGTAGGTTCAATGAGCTAGAGTTAGGGTTTGGCCGCCAATGCTACACAAATTGTTAAAAGGTGATCATTATTCATAAATACAATAGTTTCGTGGTGATCTTTATACGTAACAGTAACACTTTGGTTATGTATACAGTGCAAGAACAGTTCAGAGCTGAAAGCAATGCTTTAATTTTACATCACTATAATGTGAACTGTGATGAGCGTAGTAAGTTGCTGGACTTTGGTTATGTATACAGTGCAAGAACATTTTAGACGATCACACAGTTAAGTTCAGAGCTGAAAGAAATGCTTTAATTTTTCATCACTATAATGTGAACTGTGATGAGCGTAGTAAGTTGTTTAACCAAATTTCGAAAACAAAGGCGCAGACTAGATCGTTAATACTTGTAATAAGAAGTTTCTCGCATTTATACAATACATTAATCTAGTTTAAAATAAAGCAAATGTCTACATTACGTACTCTGAAGATATATAGGGTATACAGTTCCGCAACGGCCTTGTGGAGGAGCTGTGACATTTGCAATGACTTTTCCAGGTTCTCCATACCAACCCTCTGATAGATAGCGGTCGTTTATAACCGTTTGGTCCAACTGGTAACTGGTTAGTCTTGCAGAAGAATTGGTAAATGGCTGATAAATGTAACATGGGTCGGTAGCTGAAAAATAGGATAATGATAGTAAAATTGGGATTATACCAAGATTGTTATCTAGACACTTTGATGGTCATTAGAAAATAACACCAATAATTTATAATAATTATCATAGTATTTTAATTTTGAATATACCCATACTCTAACGCATTTGTTAACAAAATTATGATCTATCTGAATATGTTAAATGCAATGACAAAGTTGACATTGTTTAACATATATTGGGACAAAATATAATTCAATGAGACTTAAAAATCCGTTAACGATATCTTATAGTAAATCCAGAAGCATCACCAGAAACACAGACAAACAGAAACTCACAAGACAACCCCGCGGACAATATACACAATACAAGGATGTTGCAAGCAAAAAACAACAAGCTTATATATTAGATGAAATGGGTTTCCATATGGCAATCGTCACTACTAGACGTATTTATATGACAGTTAAACAAACTGTAAACATTACATTGAACCACTTATAGTTTAAATAGTACAAATAGAAAGCTTAACACCATATATAAAAACTTCAAATTCCCAAGGATCTCGCTTGAGTAGCTTTTCTGGATGTTACACAAGCCCACATCGTTCTTACCTCAGTCGCTTTATATACTACTAAAGTTGCCATAAGAATCATTGGCCGTTAATAGAGTTTCAGTTACTTATCAATAATATTCATATTAAATTCCATACCTTTACTGGGATCAATCTCCCATCTATTGCCATTACTATCAGCTCTACAGATATATTGTTCATTCAAGGGATAATTTTCCGAATTGTTGTAGCATCGGTTTTGGTACACGCAGTGGTTTTGCTGAAAGTAAAACAAATGGTTATATTACATATAGCACTTGAAAATATATTCCTTTGTTGACACTTAATTCAGTTGTATCATTTACTGGCGAAATGCAAGATTCTGAAGCACATAATTATTAACTATTCATATCGTACCCTCAATCTAAGATAGTATACACATGTCAGCTGTGTGTATAAGCATGTCAGCTGGGCATATTGTACTGCCAAGTAAAGCTATGACCATCGGGTTTAACTATTTTGTTTGGCCCAGCTAAAGTGATAACATATAGCTTTAGAAAACCGAAACGTGCGTACACGGTGAAGTCAAGATACTGAATGAAATGGGACACATAAGCTGTAATACAAATGATGTAGGTAATCAAGCACCCATAAAACGAAAGGTAAACTAGAGGAAAGTATTAATTTAATTCATAATTTTCCCGTTTTCTTGCACTCTAACCACTTTAATAAGTATTTAAGGGTAGCCATTGTAATTTTATAATTGTTCATATTTCGAAAATAAAATGTATTTAAGGTACCAGCGTATACGATTTTTCACCTGGGCCTTGGTTAATATTTAGAATAGTATCCATTTAAAGCATTGTCGCCAATATGTAAATCACAGTGCTAATCTATTTACCGAAAACTGACAATTAATGACAACCCCGTCAACGTCACAGTCCATACATCTGGAGTCAAAATACACAACTGATAGAGCATTGCTGTAATGTTGACCATCATTGGATACTGAAATAGTATAAGCTGTAAACGTGTCTTGGATGGATGGTGTCTGAGGAATATGTCCAGCAGATCTCCTCTGTCTATAACTAGTATAATATGGTAATTCACAAATAACTTTCCCCACGCTTTCGATCGATGCATCGTTGACAACTGGTTCCAAAGTAGAGGTTGTAGTTCCATTTGCTGCTAGCTATAATAGAAGCGATATACATGTGTGAAATATCTTTGTATAAAGTCCTCTTCAACCGAAATGATATCGCCGACAATACAATGACGTTTACTTTTATATTCAAAGAGAAGCAAAATAAATTCACACTCGTGTTTCAAAGTCGATTTCAGTAACATTGCCCAGAATTATTAGTATTTTTGAGAATCCCGCCGTGTCAATCAGTTTGGATTTCCTCCTTTCATGCCGTGGTTTCGTATTAAATTATTTCACGCCCTATCACGTATATGAACAAATGACACCAATGAATTCCTATACATGTATTTATAGTCTTTCTATCACTTTCTCCTATCCCAAATTTACATGGCGATTTGTGTTGACATTTAGATTAGAATCCAACAAAAGTGTTTGAATTTACATTTTCTGTCAGGTTTCTATGAATATTCATGATTTTGAGGTGGAAGCGGTTCGTTACGTTGAAATGTAGAGTGGATAATTTACAAGTATGCTACTTTCAGTTTGTATATCTCAAGATTTCCATCATAACATGCCTTTGAGCAAGACGTTGCCATATTTCGCTCAATCTGCAGTAGAAAGCGTTCAAAATTTGGGGAAACGTTAGAGCTCGTGAAAGGCACGGTGTACTGTGGCCGACATCTGATGTCATTAAATGATAAGCAACATTTCTAGTATATAAATTATTGATTTGTTTAGGATCAAATTCAGAAATTTCCAATATCACCTAAAATTTCTTTTGACTTTTAAAAGATTTAATTTTTTAAAACTAGATAGTAAGATCTATCTCGAGATCCTTATTTACCGCTTTAATTCGAAGCACATAATGTTTTGTTAGAAGCTTTATAATATGGTGAAATGCATAATCTATTTGATTATATATAAATCATTTTGAGGCCTGTGAATGCAAAACAAAATATATTTTCCCTGTTTTAATCTTTGCAAAAATTTTATCATAGAGAGAGAGTAAGAATTTCAGAATATTTCAATCATAACCCCAGTTTTATATTGGGCACATTTAAGAAGCAGTGACGTCAATTTAGATGGTGATTCACCTAATTCATGTCTGCTTACTACCTGGTCCTCGCACAATAAAAGCATGGATATTCACCAACACCTGGCAAAGAAAAATATGTAAGTTCAAACACTATTCTGGTTCAAAAAGTTAACCAAACTTGTTATGCAAAAGGGGGGAAAATTGAGATAGAGATAATGCCTATAAATAAAAACTTCATTCGTCCATCATGAAATTAGTCTTAGTCCAAAAAGAGCAGCTGGAAAAGATTGCATAAAATGGGTAGATCTGAGTGCAATTTCACGTCTTGTTCACCAAATAGCAATTGACCGAATAAAATCTTTATTTAGTATACAAATACAATTAATTTACTTGGTAAGGGGTAATTCGACATGTTGAGTCTGTTGTTTGTATAAAAGAACCGCCAATAACACCAATATCATCACATTCTTCAGTTCTTATATCACAAAGCCCTTCAAAATCCAATTCTTCAGCCAATGGCTCATCACGAAGATCAAATTCACACCCGCTACCGATATAGTTACTGTAACACACACACGTTCCTGAAGTGAAAAGAGAACGCATTGAATAAAACGTAATAACAAAGGTCGCCAGGGACATCAATAATGTGTAACCACAGACAGAAGGTCCGTAGTAGGCAGAATAAAAAAAAATTAGTAAGATAACTTCCTAATTGGGAAGCTAAGAACATGATTCTATTATGCTAAAGAGCAAAGACAATTTTTGAGTCCTGCAAAAGATTTCATTATCAAAGGACGCAGCATTAACTATCACCAATCGTCTAATTTCATTAGATGAAGGAAAGTCCATAAATTATCAAAGTCTTACTTCAATATGTATTGTAAACCCGAAAGCCGTTTACAATAACTGAAGAAAAAGTATTGCAAATCATGTTTCGAGCAACCAAACAAAAATGACGGGGCATTCACGTAACCGATAAGTAAATTTGTGCATCAAATCCGATAAAAAACTATAATCTGTACGGCACTTACAAGAAGTGTAGAGGGTTTTCAGCCAAACAGGAACATATATGGGCCCTCCTGTCATAATACAAGTTTCAAAAAAATTGATAAAAACTGTAGCACTGAAAAAAAGTATGGACAGTATTCGGCAAAAAAGGGGCACAACTCTAATCCGATTATACTGAAAAGAAATAGTAATTCTCGTCAGGTCATAAAACAAGATCCAGGAATGTTTTTATCCGATGAGAATTGCATCATCCAAGGGGCTGACAAGAATTGTGAGCGGGGAGACGGACAAAAAAGCTAATTAGCATTCGTTTGCAATGCTAATTTGTGCTGCTCCTGTGGTAGAGTTTTACAGCCAGCAGCCACCAAGTACTCCATTCCTTGAACGCAATACTTTCTGAGATCAGAGCGTCCCAAAGAAGAGATAGCATTCCCAATATTTAGCGGTACAGATGAATCCTTAGAGGACAAGAAAAAAATCGTCGCTGCCTGTACATTAGGGAAAAGAAATGGCACATGCAACTAAGTGGACGAATACACAACGTATCATACAATACATCATTCATGGAAAATTACACCACATAGTTCATTTACACCGGGCAATACTATCAACCTACGAAGAAGTGCGGAAATATTGAATTACATTTGAACCATATGTTAGTTGCAAAATTACCTTGTTTGTGTCAATTGGATGTTAAACCCTATTTCTCCCTATTTACCGGAATAAAACCATCGAAAAAAGAAGAACGTCGTCATTCACGTCATAATGCCCATCAGAAAACAATTACGGGAACCAAGTATGCCCCATTACCTACTCATTTATGTACCTAAAATCAGACTTTATACAGAGCCTTTATCAAAAACCTCAAAAGTGTGACAACTCGTTCATTTTCACCGGCAATGTTTTTCTCAATTTAGCTGTATTTATACTGATGACTTACTTATATATTATAGAAGTGACAATTGGGCGTCCTACTTGAATTTGTAATTCAAACCTATTGATTGTTATATAGTAATGATGGGTGGCATACACGCGGAAGAGTTTGCTTACTCTGTTCAGAACACCTGAGAATACTTTGCTGTCGGATTATGCCAAAAATGGGATTATTTCATCTATTTTTTTTTGTCATAACACGCATATTGGCTAGAATTCGACGTGTGAACCAAATGATTGAAAAGCTTTAGCAAGATCATTCAGAATAAAGCTTTGGTGATAAAAATTCTGTAAAATGATATCCCGCACCGCATCTCCCCCATGCATTATCCATGTATTGCAAGACATTTGTTTTGACAGTTATGCTGACAACTCACCATTATTACAGGTTCCTTGTTCTGAACAATTGTTCGGACAGTCCAGTGTTACAACTTGTCTCAGGACTGATGTTTTATTTGCTTCTTCCACTTGTAACATGGGGTCCAAGTACGCTTCTCCTACGCATTGGAGCTGTGCACTGGAGACTGGAGACTTTGCGAAGATTGTTGTACCGGTAAGCTGCACAAAAAATAAAGATTGTATATATGAATTCTTTGTAATCGATATGTATAATTCTAACGCTGCATGACTGGCCATCGTAAACCTACACTATTATGATAATCTGTAATATTCGCATCATCTGTTAACACAGACGGATGTATTTATAACTGCTAACTTATATAAATGCATTCCACGCCATAATTATGAAAACGAATTGAATTTTCATTGCACATAATTAACGACCCAATACGCGCATTTGTGTATGTGCAGATCTCCGTATGACAAGCGACCCTAATCCTTGTAACGTTTCATCACGAGATAATTTTATTCATTTCATGTAACCTGCTATAAAAAAAATACACCCAAACTGCGCTTACTCACGAACTGGATGTGGTATAATGAATAAGCATACTTTTATAATTAACACTGAAGGGCACAGACACTTAACCGTTCAAATGGCAGTACTATAAAAGTGACTTAAAGTCCGCTGATGAAAAATCGAGATAAGCGACACAGTCTATTCATCGTTTTCAAAATTTCTGTTAAACAAATTCAGGAGTTGGATATCATCGCCAGTAGTGTTCAACGATGTTTCTTAACTGTACAGGTACCGTGCGGCCAAACTACTAAAACCTTAGCAACATTGCTGCCCAGGTACCACCACATCGTCGCCAATTTATGCCATGGAGATATATCATTAGTATTTCTGTAGATAGTAATTGGAACTAGGCTCAGTTTAATACTCTCAAATTTATCTGGGGTGCCTTCTTTAAACTTACTTTAATGTCTGCTATACAGGTTTCTAGAGCAAGGTCTATATCCACAGTTTTAACTTCCCTCTTGCAAAATTCAATTATAGGAGTGGCAGTTAATAACCTGGTGCAAAACACAGTCGCCGTTTCTTCTGTCCAATTTCCCGTCCAGACTGCTTGCTGTTATCACATACATAAAAGAATTAAACAATGTTTTAAAACTAGAATCGAATGTTTGTAATTCGTGTTTGGTGTGATATATCTTGATTCTTATGAGTTTTCACTTAATAAAAACCTACACAATAACCATGCTACCTGACATTATAGTAGATATAACAATAGTCGAAGCAACCTTATTCGAACGAGCTGGAATAAGGTTCCTGTAAAATAATGTAATAATTATTTAAAGGAGTAGAAGGCACAATTAATAAAGATAGATAAAATTTACTGACATGATGGACACAGAACAAGACATAAAACCATTTCTTACCCTTTTGATTCGCCTAGGTGCCTCATCAATGTGAAGGACAGCTGGAACAGATCTTCGTCTTCTACGGGAAGGTGAGCGACTGGAACACGTTCTTTTTGAAAAGGGGTGATAATTTGGGTTACTTTTACATATTTTAACTGGACTGTCTGCATCACATGACAAGGTACTTGAAACATCATTAGACGTTGCTTTATTACAACGACATGTTATAGTTACTGCTGTATTCGGTACCAGGACATCCAGAACCGCTTGGTCGAACAAATTTTGATTTCTTTGAACCCTAAATTGAAAAAGATAATCAGCCAATTTTTATATCATATTTTCAATACATGTTTGAAGTTGTTTTGATTACAATTAATGGTCTGTTCATCAAGTCCACTGCATACAATACTGGCCATAAAACGAAATACAAGATATCGATATGCAAACCATCAAAATGAAGGTTTCATATATCTTTTCAAACGTGTAAAATATTTCCGACACATTTATATTTACATATTTTTTTAAAACAGATATAATTTGGATCGTACTGAGCTGTATTTAGTGAGGGGACGGGGGAGTATTTAAAAGTCAAAATACGGAAAATATTTTTCTTTCGTTCTTTGAATATACGAGTGTTATTTATTTCCGGGCACATTGATGATTACACAATTTACAAGAGATAAATCCTCTTTCGTTTGAGCAAAGAAATATATCGCTATCAAAAAATAACCTAATTCCTAAAAAAATAGACTACTTTCAATTTTATGTTATTTATTTATGGGTCGGATTAGGACTTACAATTATATATATAGAAACATAACTCAATGGATTAGCCATACCACGCATAAAATCGGGCGATTTGTCTTATTGTTTGCTTGCTCGATTCTCCATTATTGTAGGGTGACTTATTGCATGGCATGTTCATTTCGGCTCACCACTTGCGACCTCTATCTTCGTAATGTTTAGGTTAGATGAATTTGGTGAAATGTTTTGCACGGTTTGTATCTGGAGATTTGTATTTTGAAATGTATTGTTTGAGATTTGTGTTTCGTTGTGGTATAATATATCTTTGTATACATTAAATTATCAAAATAGCAATTGATCAACGTCCGAATTGATATCATCCTTCAAGTCTTTTAACTGTTTGGGTTTATACGATATAATTAACACGTGTTTTTGCTATATCCATATCATCTTCTGTATTTAAACATATGTTTCCTATGTGCAGTGTAACATTTCTTATCAAATATTAATGATTATTTTAATCCTAAGCTTGTATATGTTCTATTCTCTACTGTAACTTTAGTCTGGTGTTCGGCTCACCCTAGCCATACCTTAGTCAAGTTTTGGACACTCGTTTATTACAAGTACAAGTTTTCGTCGTAAGTGTTGGAATAGGTCGTAAGTGTTGGAATAGGCCACAACCCCTATAAAACAGCACTACGGCAGTCATAGGTTTGGATGAAATGTAAATGTAATTCTTTGATTTTCTAAAATAAATTTTATCTTTACATTAAAGGGGCGGGGGGAGGTATGTCAGATACAGAGTACTCTCAGAAGTAGAGTCACCCAAACCCCCATAGTTGTACGGGCAACGATCCCAATTGATTTACAACAATGACATATTTTTGTAAATGGCCATTTGAATATTTTTTTAATCATTTGAAACGCAGATAACAAAAACAAAACTTGCACTCTCACTTTAGAAGCATTTTATTTTATACTATCATTTTGTAATTGCAAATGCTTTTGATCGGGACAAATATATTTCCTTGCATGGCTTCGGCGAAAACAAAGTCTCGGGAATCAAACCTTTATATCATTACATAGTATAATCTAAGCATACGATTTGTGTAAAACCGTGTTGCCTGGCAATCTGGATCTTGTCGGTTAAATAAAAAGGTCTATTATTATCTGCGGATAATATTGTTTTAACTCACCCCCACGAGTTGACAAATTCTGAAGCTGATTGAAATCCTCTATTCGGATTGTAGTTTATTCTATCGGAGCTTGTACTGCCATTTCTAAGAACAAGTTGTTCAGTTATGTTTGAAGATATTCGGCCACATAAACCACGTGACCTATTTGTATCTAATACAGAAGGAGTGACCGAGACGTCAACATATTTGGGATTTGCGTTTATTAATTCAGCTCTCACTGTTGCACCAGTAGGCAAAGTAAGCTGTAAAAAAATGAATAATACGCCATACGGAAAGAGTAACGTACGTCACAAACGTAGTATGAAAGTATCAATAGATAGATAATACAAATAAAAATAAAAAAATAAACGGTCAATTCTATATTGTATGGAATAAAATATCTTGTAAAACATATCAAATTACATAATTAATCATCTACATATTTATGTGAAATATTGTCATCTAACTAGAATTTTTGTTACGAAAAACATTAAGTCCTGAGCGATATTTTCAACAGGCTCACCTTAAATTCTACAAATTTGAAGACAGTGACCATTACGCATGGAAGAATGAGAGTTGGCATTACCATGCCACATCGACAACAGCACGAACAAGGAGAACAATCACGAAACAGCAGATCATTAATGTATTAATTATTGTATTCTAATGTGTTTCAAGCCTATTATGCGATATTACTGCATAATCAGATTTTACTAGAAACATAATTTCGAATAAAACAAAAGCAAATACCACGTAAACATAAATCATCTAATGTAAAACCAGTACCTCATAAATATTCGATTGTGTATGCTGTACTCTCAAAATATCTACAGCAGTATCACACAAAACATATTCTATTATCCAGTGGTTGGAGTTACAAGCACTTATCATATAAGCTGTTCCGCCAATCCTTGCCACCATTCCACAATTACAATGTCCAATAAGACCGCTACATAGAATGGTTTGAATTTGAACCTGTATAAAATGAATTATTGGTCAGTCATGTTATTAGCCATGCACTTGCCAATACAAGTAGGTATATATAGATAATTTTACCATTAACATTGTACACAGACAGATAAATGCATACCATCTGTATATTTGGTTGTCTATTACAGTAGTCAAGACTTACAAATAAGACACATTGGCATCCCAACAATTTTATTTTAATGAGAGCATTTGCGCCAACACCCAACTCCAGTAACTACTCCCAACAGCAAGCACTATCCAGTTCAAAAATAAAGCTCTTTAATTTAACTTCCTCAGCACCCCTCCTGTGTGCAAAACCGAACATATTATGATCGATTGACTTTCTTTATGCAGATGTTAAATTTATACAGCATATGTGAAGAAGCAAAAGAGGTATTTTGCACATAGTATTTGAGTATTTCTTAAGACCAAAAACTACCTGCATGTGTTTAAGGTTACCCGTTCGACCATATTTCATGGATCCAAAATCGCCTACAAGAAATGCCCTTTCCTACTTACAAATCGGTTGTGACATTGTCTCTGCAGATAAATTCTAATAACATTTTAATAACATGTCAAAGTCAAAGAAATGAAAGTATCCGTGATATTGATATATGAACGTGTTGTGTGTCCCAATGTCATATTCAGGTGGAGCCAATTTTACTAACGTGCCGTAGTACGTTCATCGTATGGAACTGAACACGTAACCGTTTATATAAACATTGTTTGCTGAAACGACTTCAGTTGCTTGTTGAGCACATAAAGCTGCATGTAGGTTATTAAAGGATTAATTCATTAGTTCAGTTAGTTCTATCCCTTCCTACACGCCACCCCTCTCACCCCCACAATTAAACAAAAGAAATAAAACAGTTAATTCAATCGGCCGACCCTATGTTTGTTTTTATACAAAGTAACCATAAAAACAGGTGTTAAATGGTTTGAGCCTAATTTACTATTTCTTCTGTGTTCGCATAGACAAATAAGTAATGAAATTCGTCTTTAGGGTTCTGCTTATATACTGGATACAATCTTTCCCCCGGGGAACTCTTCTTCCGTCTTCACCAATATTGAAAGATTATGTTCCAATAGACCCTAAACATTCTAGTACGAACCAGCAAAAGTATCACAGACCAATTTTAATCAAATATCGCGAATTTTATTGAAAATAAATACTCAAATTAAAATTTGAATATTAATTTTCTATAAAATTCGCATTCCATCATTTTAGAGCAAACTGAACGATATTGTGAATAACGAAACTCTAATAGAAATATCCGGTCCGAAAATAGTTCATTTCGGTTCAATATTTACAAAGATATGTTGAATTGAAATTTCATCGCTCTATGCAGCTGGGTATGTAATATGGCGGTCTGTTTTGATTCCGATTAAAACCAAGTCGGGGATTATTTTGCGTTGATATTTTGATTTAAGTACATATATCTTTGAGTACATATATTAGCATTGGTTAAGCCGTGAAACGTTTGCCATTTTAGCGAAACATGCAAATGACGAATCGTTACTTTAAAGCATACAACAAAATAAAGACCTCTTTCGTTTAGAGATGCAAAAGAAATAAAGTGCGTTTTTTCTTTTAACTTCCACGCCCCTTCTCGATACGTGTAGTGTTGGTGTAGTTAGGTAAAGTCGACCCATTTACATTTTCTGACACACAAGTTGAATATACTACCATGGTAAGCGGGGTGAGTCCAAATGTATTAAAGGTCCTCTATAGTTTTTAGCAAGTTGAGATATGCGAAAAATATCTTTATACGCTTTTGAGGCTTTCATGTCATAAATGATTAATACATGTCGAACAATTACTCGAAAACCGTTTTTGGTTTTATTACATGTCGCAAATCTAAATCGATGAACTGACTATACATTATGATCCTGGTCGAGTGGTTTAACACATTGAAATGTTTTTCAGGACTAACATATGGTTTAAAACTATTTCAATAATTCGTTTGCGCGTAGGGGTCTTTAGCAGTGGGAGGAAACCGAAGGATCCGAAGAAAACCCACCAGTTGACTGAATGACAGACATTATGATACAGCCCGCAAGTGCGATCCCATTCGGACATCATCGCCCCCCCCCCGCCCCCTACCGGGTAAATTTAGTACTTAAAAAGTGTCTAAATACTAAATACCAAATGACCATATTGCCATACCTCAATATCATGTTCTCTGTCTTTATACAGTGAAAATGTTCCAATACTCTGAATGTTAATTCTCCTAAAATAATAAATAAATACCACAAGTTTAAACAGTCATTATACATTATGCGTAATTTAAGAGCCATGAACTTTGCCTGCACTAACCACCTAACATGTCAAATATACTGCTTGAGAGAATATGCTTTTTTGTGCTTTTATTGGAAGCTATAACCAATAGCAATAACTTCCGATTTTAGCTTTCCATATATATATTTCATCAAAAAAGTTTCAATTTTCAATACATAGCCAAATTAACCCCAACGGAATACAGAAAATGAAATATAAAATAAATTAAATGGACATGACACAATGTTCGTTTAAATCGCTGTGTTAATTTAGTTTCAATAATGGAATGAAACGATAGCCTAAAACTTATTATCTCTATTTCAGCCAGGTATTAGCGCTTGCGTTCTCTAAGTTAAAACGTCAACGCTCATTAAAAAAAACCACACAAAATAAAACAAGCTAGGGTCCAATAATTTGTATTTAGAGATTGGGTGCATGCATTGGCAAATAATTCATAATTTTGCTTTTTAGATGCTTGTTGTAGAACTTTTACTGGCTAAAGGCCTTGGATATCTTTTCTTAGAACGATGTGTAGACACTGCACCGCTGCCTTTATCAAATTGTTACCATATGTATACGTACAGGCCTTTAAAAGTCACAAGCCTCGGATCACTAGTTGCTGAACATACCAATGACTGAGTACTGGTTGTATCTTTCTCAACAATAACCTGTAAATAACATTTCATACGTCAGTAAAATAAATGCAGGTGTTTTAGAAAGAGTAAATATCTAAAGAAACATAATACGATTTGTATATTATTCGTATTCAAAATAGAACACAAAATTCGGTTGTGAATATTTCATTGTGTATGTGTGGATGGCGTGGTAGCCCCTGACCAGGGGGAACGATAGTTTGTAAATCCTAATATGACTAGAAAGGAAATATTATTCCGCTACGGCATTACCGTAAGGAATAGACTGTTTTTCATAAAAAAAACACATCTTAAATTCAGAGCATTTATTAACACTTTAAAAAATCAGAATGAAAAAGTAAAAGTTATTGAATTTTTTTAACCTTGACGTATTTTTATCTATTTGTGTATTCGTCTTTTCAGTAAACAAAGTTTTCCTACTTTAAATTATTGACTCATATTGCACCGTTAACTTCATCAATATAAAAATATACCTGAACGCGGGGGAAAATGGTATATTTCGCCCATGTCCAATGGTCATAGTGTGATCCAAAATTCCCCAAAGTTAGTTCAAACTCTCTTGATGATTGTCCATATTGGTTACTGATACCAGCTGTTATATTGATTTCATATTCTTGATCCCATCCACTGGCAATATTTTCTAGAATGTTGACACCACAATAGTTGTTAACTGTAGCCGTCGCATCACAAGGTCCACTATCCGGTATTAATGTTGATACGACATATCTACAACCCAGCGCAATATTATAGCATCCTACTTCAGCATCCGCTTTTATTCTTATTACACCATGTTCTCCTTCCCTGACTCGAATTACTGGTGTCAATATCTAATAATAGATAGTGTGGTAAAATTATTCATGATACTATTGAAACATTAAAACATTGGTCACGGATCCTCTGAATAACAAAGAATACCAAATAATGTTAATCGTGGGATTCGTGAGCAAAATCGCTACATCCCTTTAATCATCGGAAGAACGATTTGTCAACCGTGGCCAACTTTGGATAGATCAGGAGAGAACAGCATTGGGTATTCGTGTTCAATTGGCAAGCGCTGCATGCTAAAGATTTGAATGCCTCGATTTCCTCCTAACCGCGATATACAGCGGCGAAGCCTTGAATATCTTTAGCATATTCGTACTGCTTCATTATATGATTGCGCACGGGTCGTCAAATGTTTCCTGGGCAGTAGGTAGTTCGTGTAACAGAACCACATACACCTCAAACAACAAACGTATCAGATTAAGTGGATGGATCCAAAGGCGTCCACATCGCCTTAGAGTTCAAGGCCATTAGGGATACAGGCTTGGCTTAAATGAAAACAAAAATGAAAACAAACATATTAAGGGAAACATTTCAAGAAAAAAAAGGGAATATTTCCCAAACGTTTTATCATATTGGTGTGAGTCATGATTGGCTATTTGCTACAAGAAATCTCAATGTCGGCACATTGAGGAAAAAACCTTTTATAAATAATTATTTTCGTGAAATTTTGTAAAAAAAAACCAAGTAAAACTAAATGACTTTATATAGTAGTCAAAATATGGAACAAAACATTATAAGCGTGCGGAAAAATGTAAGTGCATCGTACTCGAGAAAATTACATTGCCGTAGATGAGATTTAAGTCCTTCCCTTTCAATTTAGATATTGGAGCCGACGATTTGCCACCAAAATCTGACATGGACGTATGGTTATGACTCATGTGCATTACAGGATATACGGGACTTTTGAATCAGACGCCATTGTCTCTGAATCTGGGATTATTTAGACGGATCCACTCGCTCTTCAACTGGGCCTTGCGCCTTTGCCCCAAGACGTTTCATTTACAAATTACTTCTCAAATTCGGGGATTTATTTTCGCTTAAATTTCTGATATCATATTTACCTTAATGCCTATGAAACGTGAAGAACTGTTGGATCTAGTTGTTGTTAAACTATCTGAGGCTAGTACCTGACAGCGGATCTTCAATGATAAAAATAAATTTGAGACTAACATAATAATAGTAATTGTCACTTGAGACGGGAATATTTTTCCATCTGCTCCCATTCGAATTCCAAATGCCAGAGTTCTTTTACGTGCACTAGTGGACATCGATGCGTCGTTGCATTCGAATGAATAGACACACTTTATTTGTCATCCCGGGGTATGCGCACAGGTAAATAAAGCAATACCCCCCCCCCCCCGCTAATGGATTGGGATTTAATTGAGTCAGTAATTTACTCCCACAAAGTCATTGAGAGCCAGGAGCGTAGTCATTGATAGTCGGTTCACAAGGAATTGTAGGTTGTAGTTGACAAGGATAACGATATTTATAAAATCATCCAGTTTTATTTACAAATTAGATCTCAGATTTAGTGGTTCATGCAGTCTCACAGTGCGATGTAATAACTGCATAAACAAAGTATGTGGGTTATTATTATCACTACTCCCTCTAGACCTGTCTGTAAATATAACATTTGAGAAATCCTCTATGAACACAATACTTTTTTATAGCGCAGTTCGAATTATACTCTCTACACCACCCACTCCCCCGCAGATTCCGTGAACCGCCCAATTTGAGGGCAATTTCCGTGAACCGCTCAATTTGAGGGCAATTTATTTCCGTTTTCGAGCACAAACCTCAGAGAATGACACATATATTGTTTTAGTTAATGATTGATTCATTCTGAAAATTCTGGTGGCAAAGAAAAATTTCGGGCAAATAGCCTCAGCCCTGGACCCCGCCCCCGCACCCCCAATTGTGATTGACCCCTATGCCTATGATTAGAAAATACTTACATCGTAGCCCACTGTTCTATTCAGTTGATCGTCTGTTAAACTAAGGCTATGTCTGAAACTAGTCAGGTTCGTGCCACCACCAACTGCAGAGCTAGTATATACCAGGTAATTATTGACAAACCATGCAGCGCTATAAATCAAATCATCTCTTCGTCCCGTAAAGTCACAGTAAAATCTGTACATCTTCCTTCTACTTTCTTCCACGGTTTCTAACGTCACGTTCACAATCGGGTCCACTTGGTGAACGCCTAATATGAGTTTTAAAAATGGGACAAATTACGAATCCAACACACCGATCGAGATTTTAATGACCTTACAATATTTTAATGACCTTACAATATTTTTCACATCGTGTAGTCTTTTTGAAAATAATGTTTATTTCTGAATTTCGTGAAATATTATTGTTGTAGTTTAATAAGATGCTTTTTTTTATTTTCGTTTTTGCTGTTAGGTTCTAATAGCACATGCATCAGTATACGGACTAACAAACCTCCAAACTGGCTTTAATAGGACAAAATCCAGACAAGAAAAAAAATTATTAAATAATTCATTTATTTACTTACGTCGTCGACAAGTAACCGATGCGTCAGTACTATGTCCACAGCTATTCCTGATCCATCCATTATGATTACAATATTTCAAAGATGATTCTCTCCCAGTACATCTAACGTAATCGAGTAAAATGCTCCCAGTTCCTTGTCCAAAATAAGCACCGGTTCTGGCAATGGCACCTACCCTATAACATACACAATGACAATTCCTTAAGTGGAAGATCTCTTGATGGTCTCTTTGTACAGCCCAAAAGCAATGGATTATGTAAATGAATTCTTCAAATGCATGAACTGCCACTAAAAATGTAATTGTACGTAGAAGTTTAGAGAACAACGAGGAAAAGGGGAACTGTTTTTTTAGAAATATCTCAAGATCGATAGAACACGTAGATGCTACAAAAAATAAAATTATAACTTTACAGGTGACAATTATAATAACATTTGACAGCATATAAAATAACGTTGTCGCCAACGACACAACGACATATACGTCAACGTGTATATACCGAAGAGGGTATAGCATCTAGACTACGCTTCGCATAAATGACAACGGCTGTTAGTGAAATTGACAAGAGTAATAACATTTTATTATACTGTTTGATGAAATGGCCTAGAAAAATATACTTACGAAGAAAATCCAAGTTCTCTACAAACAACTGACGCATCATTGGAGCTCCAACTATTACTACAAACTGTTCCCCACCGATTATGATAATATACTTCAACCCTTCCTTCATGTGGTCCCGAACCTCCAACTAATCGTATTGCGTATGTAACTAAGAACAAAAACCATCTTAAATCATTATTGAAGCGATTAATGGCAAGCTGACCACATTCGGGTACAGACAACTGAGGTATCATTGGATCCCCAACTATTACCACAAACTGTTCCCCACCGATTATAATAATATACGCCAACCCTTCCTTCATCTCGTCCCAAACCTCCCTATAATCGTTACGAGTGTGTAACTGAAACCCAAACTAATATCAATATTTAAATTATCAGTGACAAACTGAGTCAATATCCAAATTCTCCACAAACAACTAACGCATCAGTGGAGCCCAACCTATTACCACAGACTGTTCCCCACTAATTATTATAATATACTAAGCAGCAATAGAAACGTCAGTTTGGTATGTTACTCTGAATAGACGCATTGCATAAAACTTGCCAAATGTTTTTATTGTATATTTGTGACCACATCTCCAACTTTACCTGAGCAATAAGGCTCCTTCCCAAACACAGAATTGAACCCAGGAAATGTTCTAAAAAACGCAACCTGACTTAGTGTGTTCTCCATGATTTTCATGTAACTCATGCAGCACGTGCTGTTCACCGAAAAAAGCCCTACAAAATGCACCCCCATACCTGGTTGAATCATTCACACTACAACGTCAGTAGCGTACCACGACGCACGACAGCTCAGAGAAACCAGGCGCCTGGAAGACTCGACAATGGCCACACTACGTTCCTGATTTTGAAATCGTACTGACGTTTATTTTGCTGTTTAGTATATACATGTACTTCAACTCTTCCTCCATGTGGTCCCAACTATGTAACTAAAATAAACCTCATCTAAAATCATTTTAAAGGCATTATTGACAATTGGGCACATATTATTTGTATCGCTAAATATTGTCAGTTACTTACATCCACAGGTAACTGATGCATCTTCTCTGTGTCCACAGTTATGCTCGGTCCATTCGCGGTGATTACAAGACTTTAAAGATGACTCACTTCCATTACAGTTAACGTCATCAAGAATGATACTCCCAGCGCCTTGTCCAAAATGTGCATATTGTCTTCCAATAGCACCTCTCCTATTAATACAATATGGCTAGCTTGTAATTCTATAGACATATGATCCTTATGTGTATGGCCTGCTGGGGAGTTGGATGGGCGAATGGTTAGCACGTGCGCGCTTTATCATAAGGTCTGCCATTGAGTCAACTGGCGTGGTTTCGATTCCCCTGTTGTATGTAACAAGAAGTAGGGTCGCCTATCCAACCTCGTCGGTTTTCTCCGGGTCCTCCGGTTTCCTCCCACTGCTAAAGACCCCTACGCGCATGCGAAAACTTGAAATAAAATTGAACATGTTAGTCTCGAAATGACAAAGTTTGTGTCGAGTGGACGTTAAACCTCATTTTTCTCTCCCTCTCTTGTATGGCCTGCGATGTTTATATTTTGAAAGCAAGTGCTTGTCATGTAACGTACGCCCACATATCCCAGTGGTGGAAATCAATAGGGCTAGCCCTGTTATGGCCCCAATGCTTCACATCAAAACCGTTCAACTGATAAAATATAGACCAACGGAGAATGATGAACATCGATGTGGTTAAGGTTCTCATAGCCTCAATGATTCACACTAAATCTGTACGTATCAGCAAAGCATCACGTTAACAGGGCATTGCTGACGGACGCTGCTTGAAATTGATCGTGTTCATCCACAGAGCAGGGACCATAACCCCGGAGGTTACTGTCCGAAACACGAAACCGTCTTAAGATATTTTGATCGTGTTATATTGATGCAGTAACGTACACTCATACTTACGAAGAAAATCCAAGCTCTCTACAGACCACTGACGCATCAGTGGAGTCCCAACCATCATCACAAACTGTTCCCCAACGATTATTATAAAGTACTTCAAGTCTTCCTTCATGTGGTCCTGAACCATTTACTAATCTTATTGAGTATGAAACTAAAAAAAATTAAAACCCCACTTTTAAATGTGGTTGTTGGGCGGAGCTGAACGTCCCATAAAAACTGTCATTCGGTTATATTAAGATAAATATGATACTGAATATGGCTTGTAGGGTACGCTTACTGTGCCGCCAATGGCAGGGTGGATGTCAAGCGTGGTACAAATGATAGATTAGCCCACTAAAAGGTAATATTTATAGTCCTATAAAAAAGAAGCCATAAGACCTATGTTGTTACAATGAGAAAAGTCATTACACATTTGAACATATTTACCTTCTAGTTTACTAAGTTGACTAACACACTTAACTGCCTCATCTCCATACTGATGACGAATATAATCCTTGACTGGCATTAAGTGATTGAGCATATTAAAAAAGACAACACTGGTTGTGTTTGTTTAATGTGATCAATCATTAAATGCCACTCAAGGATTATATTCGTCATCATTTGTACTTGATAACGATAAGAGAATACTTGTCGAAACGTCGTGCTATATGTGTATAAACCAGTGATTGTATTCCATATAAATTGTGTTGTGTTTTTAATGTGCTCAATTACTAAATGCCACCCAAGGATTAATTCAGTTTTAAAGGCAATTAAGCAGTCATGTGACCTTTATGATATTTAATGATCAAATCGTGGGCGCCCAACCAATCTTACTCGGCTTTATGCATTATATGCGGTCTGACAATCATATATTGTCATTATAAGGCACCCCACCAATCTTGTCATTATGGGCGCCCTTCGAGATAAGGCTCCCCACAAATCGCGCCATTTTGGGCGCTCCATCAATCAAGTTGAGGGGCGCCTCATATATAATTATAACGATATGATTGGCGAGACGCCCATAAAACGAAGTAACATTGGTTGGGCGCCCTGCTAATCTCGTCGTGGGCGATCAACCAATGTCACTCGCCTTTAGGTGGCGTTGGTCGTTGGCTTTGTATTGCTTCCAATGAAAAGGGCACCTTCGACGCAACTTTTCCAGCTGCCCCCTTGCACCCACCCCTCCCCCTTCCCCCCGGCTAGCTGCGGACCTGGTCCCAAGTTTCACCTCTACCAAATATATTTGCAGCCAATTCAATTATAAAAAGTACACAGTTAGCCTAAACTCAAGAATAGTATAATTACATTAGATACGTATAAAGAAAATATAACACCCAAATGTAATTGGTACTTACAGCTGCATGTTACTGATGCGTCTTCATTAGGATTACAGTTATGCTTGCCCCATCCATTGTGCTTACAAGCTTTTAAAGATGATTCTCGTCCATTACAGTCAACATAATCAAGTAAAATATTTCCATTTCCCCGTCCAAAATAAGCAGAAGGTCTAGCCACAGAACTTCCCCTACAACATTGATTTAAAATCTACATCGTTATACCATGTAGTTTGTTATTTATGCCAGTCACACTAGTCACGTAGGACTGTATGATAACCCTTGATACTTAGCAGAAGAAATATAAACGTTCGGTTTCCATATATATTTGATGATTAGGTCGCAAAAATTGCTTTTTTATGTCTAAATTTTAATGACAGTACAGATTGAAACATTGGGGTATAAAATATACTTACGGAAATCCAACTTCTCTACAAACGACCGAAGCATCTTTGTAGTCCCAACTATCATCACACACTGTTCCCCACGCGTTGTCGTAAAATACTTCAACTCTTCCTTCATGTGGACCAGAGCCTCCGACTAATCGTACTGAATATGCAACTTAAAATTAAAAATAAAAATTACCAGATCTGCAACATATGATGATGATATGTGGCCATTTTACTCGTATAAAGCATCAATGAATGTATTTATTGTTGGGGCGACCCGTGTTCGACTGAACTCAGTGGTTTGTCAGAACTCCTATGAAACAGTTGAAGATATCGTCAAAATGGTAAGAAACAAACTGTACAAAACTGCCAAGAAGTATGTGCGCCTCGTTTCAGCCCATAGTATGCCTTATAACAAAGGAAAGTAGTCAGAGGATTACGGATTCGCGTGATTGATGGAACGTGGTGCCCACAATACATGTTTTGCAATGTGAAGATGAGCAACCACATCCTAGCTCGAACAAAACTAAGGAACTTCTAAAAACTGCATGACGAACAGCGGTGCAAATATGCAACGCTGGGTGAATTAAAGATACATTATGAGAGATTAGATAAAGAGTTGGCAGTTCTCACTTTAATAGTTAAAAACTAGATAATGTAAACGCAATTTGATGACAATTTCATTCAAATTGATCCACTATGAACCGAGAATTAAGCATTTGAAATTTCCACCTAGCCTCGATCATCATTACTAAAGTCAGTACGATAAACAACATAGTCTCGATTATCCATTTAATCATTAAATCGTGATGGAAAGTTATGCAGTAAATCGGCTCATAATCCACTAAAGATCGCAGGCTAGAGATGCCATCCAGAGTTTATTATGGTCCGGATAGGTTAATTAATGTCTATTTAATAATTTAGATAACATTTCAGGCCTAGTATAAGACCGACAATTGGCAGATTTAGCTCTTGCATAATGTATGTTTAATATTTAAATTAAAAAATGTTTAAATTGAAGAGAGTACGATTGTATGCAAGGGCTAACTTGGCCGCTCATGGCATTTCACAGATTTGCGAAAAAAATGAAATAATAAGACTCAATTTGTAGTGTTTGTTCATATTTTTTACTGTGTACTGACTGTGTACAAAATACTTAATTAATATTGTAATCAATTTTGATGCAATGTTATTATTATTTCCTATCCTTCATGGTTAATAATTGGTCGGAGGGTTACATTGGGGTTCGGCTCATTTGAAAAGGTTATGAACCATTTGTCAACACTTAAAAACCATTCGAACATAAAGCGAGGCTTTATTAAAGGTTTAAAAGAACTAAACAGAACATTAGAAGGTAATGAATGGTTTTCTATTAACATTTAGATTTCGATTCACAATTAGGAATCGTCGGTTTAATTTCTGTTATACCAGTTATATAGGGTGATTATATTGGGCATGTGAAGTAATAAATTCGAGCACAGATAGTTATTATTATAGACACGTTATTCAGACATATCACTGGCACAGGTTCAGCAACTTAACTAAGTCGAGTCAAAAATAAATTTTTACCTCCTCCCCGGCTAGTAAGAGACACATCTTCAGACCGTGAACCTCCAACCATTATGACTACAATAATCAGTGCCTAACTAATTTACCCGATTTAAAATTAAATTGTACCTACCCTGGCAAGTAACAGACGCATCTTCATAATGTCCACAGTTATGTGTGTTCAATCCAGCATGATTACAATATCGTATAGCTGATTCTCTTCCATTACAGTTAACATCATCAAGTAAAATGTTCCCTGTTCCTTGCCCAAAATATGCATTTCCTCTAGCAATAGCACCTAACCTGTATATCGGTTTTCCAATAATTACAACAATATTAATTGAATGTGGATAAAATGCAAACGACTATTCGTCTAAATGAAAATTTACATTTACCAAAGGCAAGCGGGCAAAGACTGTCGAATAGCTTAACTGATGCCCACTAATTAAGTCATCAATTTATTTTCCCTTTATATAAGCCTTTATATTCTTACAATATTCAGTACCCAGTACCAGTAGTCGCGAAACGGACCAGTTATTTTATAGTAAACTGAATGTTCCCAGAGGTGCTTATCCCATCGTCTCGAACATCTTTGCGTGATCATAACCCTTTGCAGGTTTGTTTTCATTTTGATGGTTAATAAACATTAATTAAAGTAATTGTGTGATTATTTTTTTTTGCCATTGAAATAATAATACTAATAATATGTACATTTATATAGCTCTAGTACTTTATGTACTACGGCATGCTCATAGCGCATACAATTAAAGTAGTGTAATTAATCCTGAGATAATTTATTGATTTCTGGAAGATTATTCCACTATTTAGGCGCATTCACAGAGAACGATCAGTATCCAAATTATTTTAATTACCAATCTAACTGAAGATCAATCAGACCACGTTGTGGCCTAGAATTGTGCGCTGGTCTAATTTATACATATTAAGAAAAGTACTCATTTTGGGCGAACTATTATTAGTGTTTATTGGGATACTTTTTTTTAGCGGCACCAAAACAAAATATGTGACACTCTTGGTTCTCCTGAGTGACACGATCCAAACCGCTGTTCCGGCGTTTTAATTGCAATTACTACACAGTGAGTTCTTTTTACGATCCCAGCTCACTAAATCAACCACCACCCACACCATCACCACCAACACCCACACCCATTTTGTTATAAATGCAGCATACTCGTCTATACACAATGTGGGATAGTGGAGTAAGGGGAGGCCACGATAAGACGGGCCTGGCACCTAAACACAAATCCCACATAGATGACATCTACCAAACTAGCAGGATAGTGGAGTAAGGGAGAGTCACGGTCAGACGGACTCGGCATCTAAACACTATTCCGCATAGAAACAGATACCAAACCAATAGAGTGGGATAGTGGAGTAAGGAGAGGCCACGATAAGACGGGTCTGGCACCAATCACTAAACCCACAGCGATGAGATCTACCAATCCAGAAAAGGGAGAGAACAACTATCAAACAATATGTTTCTTATTAATTAAAGGGAAGAACTTTCCACTAAACCCAATCCATGGCCTAAGGCCGAAAATGGAAAGATTGCAAAATCATATTCTAAAAACAGGAAGCAGCTTCGGCTCTCCTATGTCTTGACTGCAATATCACTTCTGTGGAAGCAGACGTTAAAGCACCAAAATACTTCTACTATACACAATCAGTGCTCTTGGCATGTTGAAAGTTGATTGATGCAATGGTCGCACGGTGCTCTATGCTTTGTACACGCCGCACGTGCGACATAAACGAGCGTACGTACTGTAAGCTATCTTCTGTCATTGATTTCTCAATTTTCGGTGATGCCATGTACAAACTACAATTCTCCTTTAAAATAGTGCATTCGCTTGAAACTACAAAACGAAAGAAGTGTGACATCCCGACCAAACCGGTATGGGGTAATGGTTTGGAATAAATGCAATACTCGAGTATTGACCATTGCTGAGAATAACTTCAATGGAAAAGATACTTACGATGAAAATCCAAGCTGTCTACAAACAACCGATGCATCTAATGATCCCCAACTATCATCACAAACTGTTCCCCACTTTCTGTTGTAATACATTTCAACTCTTCCTTCATGTGGTCCTGAACCGTTTACCAATCTTATTGCGTATGTATCTGAAAGAGCCATATTATGGACCAATTAGTAAGTACAGCGCCTTCTCTAGAACCATATTGGTTTTTTTAAAACAAATTAATGCCCTGGTAAAGACATTGAATGTACATCGGTTGAAGGACAGTTAGCACTGACGGGTTAAGGGGGGGGAGGGGGCGAGGGAGACTTGGTTGAAACCGGTGTCCACAAAGATTGTAGTTGCTTTCACACTTGAGGGGTTTTCCCCATTTCACCAAGACCTCACCACGATCTATAGAATGATTGCTCGGAATAAACGAACAAACAGATCTTCGTTATGTGTGCAGGTGACTTTATCAAACGGATACTCATCTTGTTATGCCCCCGTCAGATCGGGGTGGCGTCCTTACTGCGCTGCAGCGACCGTACGGCGACCAGAAATGCACAAGGTCGTCGGCAAACGTGAACACAACGCGCGAAAATGTCCCGAAATATTACAAACTTGAAAAAAGTTTTCACATCTTTCCAGGGCAGATATCGACGATCATTTGCGACCATGGAGACCACAGAGCGACATCTGGCGTTTCCACCACATTTTTACCACGCCTATGGCGGTCTTGACGCGCTCTGGGACCATTTTCCGTCGCCGTATCAGAACGGAGGAAATGAATAGGAAAGCTGATAATGAAGATAATGTCTCAAGGGATAAGACGTCATCCTTACCAATAAGATACCTTGGCATTGTATTTCATATAATCAAATGAATTTAAATGGGTATACTTGCACCCGACCTTGATAACGTAATTCGTCCCTTAATTCGACACCGAAAGCATAAGAAAAGGACAAAAATTATCTGGATATCTGAACACCCGGCCTCCAGGTTAGTGAGTCGGCGTCTTACCCACTTAGGCACCGTGACCCAACTCTAAAGAGGAACGGTTAAATTACAAACACCTTTAAAAAAATCTTATTATCTGATGGGGGGGGGGGGCTTGGATGGCCGAATGGTTAGCACGTGCGTGCTGTATCATAAGGCCGATCATTGAGTCAACTGGCGTGGTTTTCGAATCCCCGGTTGTACGTGACAAGGAGTAGGGTTGCCTGTCCAACCTCGTAGGTTTTCTTCGGGTCCTCCGGTTTCCTCCCACTGCTAAAGACCCCTACGCGCAAGCGAATTATTGAAATAAAATTAAAAGCCATATGTTTGTCCCGAAATGACCTAGTTTGTGTTGAGTGGACGTTAAACCCCATCTCTCTCTCTCTCTCTCTCTCTCTCTCTCTCTCTCTCTCTCTTATTAATATTAAAACTTATTAATATTAAAACTTATTAATATTCATATGAAACTAGTTATTGCGAAAATCTTAGGAATCAACAAAAGGTTTACTTACTGTTACATATAACGAATGCATCTTCTGTGTGGAAACAGTTATGCACGTTCCATCCACGGTGATTGCAATACCTTATAGATGATTCTCTTCCATTACAGTTAAGATCATCTAGATGAATATTTCCTGTTCCCCGTGGGAAATCGGCAGCACCGTTAGCAATACGACCACCCCTACAATTAGACGTAGATAAGTTTACTTACATGAACACACGTCCCAATAGCACACTGTGTGAGTATGACCTTTGTAGACCACTTCGTACCGTATCATGTATTTTGCATTAGCACCATGGCACTTCAGCTAACACATTGTGAACCGCATTGTGTAGCCTATGAGTAGACATTTGCTTGATAACGATAAGAGGATACTTTATGAAACGTAGTGCTTTTAGAATAAAATCAGTGATTGATTTCCCATACAAATTGTGTTCTGTTCAACGTGTTCCACAATCGCTAAATATACTATTTAAAGATTTTAAACATGAATCATTGGATGGCTGAAATCAGGTTAATAGTTCTGTAATACATAAAAGGATCTAATGGGATTCACTTAATCTACACATATTGCATTCCACTTATACCAGTGTCTTCGAAATTGGACCTAAAAAGAGATATATAGCATTATGCAGGCTTATCTGATTTGACGATACTGCCGTTTATAAACTTTTGATTGTGGATCATCAAATTTGTAAGAAAGAAGGCTGTGAGTTGGTGTAAAAACTGACAATGCAAACTTACAAAGGATACCCAGCTTCTCTACAAAGAACTGTGGCATCGTTGTTGTCCCAGTAGTCGTCACAAACTGTTCCCCACTCGCCGTTATAAAATACTTCAACTCTCCCTTCATTTGGTCCAATACCACCTTCTATTCTAGAAACTACAATAGCAATCAACAAAAGATTTTGTAATCTAATATGGATTTCAAATACTTTTGCTTTGTAAAATCTGGAACGTATTTAATCTACCCGTAATTGGTTGATGTTGTTGCTTTAACCAATTTGGTACGTTGCAACATTTACAGCGTATCATTTATATGACATCCCCGGTAAACAATTTCCAATGTGTACAGCTATAATTTAATTAATTTGCATTATTTGCCATTACTTGCCTTGGGCGCAATGATAAATTCCAGTTATACTTTCACTTTGTTTCTGCTGGGGTTGTTTTCGGATCAGTAATTTAATGTTAAGATTTAATGTTGCGTTGCAATTACCTCTTAGCGAATATTACAAACGGCTCCGAATAGTAGTACTAACTAATCACTCAATCAAAAAATGGACGCGAGCGCTCTAAAAGCGTAAAGTAACCTATATAATTATTATGGTGAAACTTTGAGACACTGTAAATATGGTACTTATTTCTATTTTAACCTTCGATTTGTATACTTAAAACATATTTCAGTTTTGGAGACAAGGTGAACTGAAATTGTGTCCTTCTGTGGATGAGTTTCGATAGGATTACGTCTCATGACTATCCGAATTATCCCAGTAAATCTCTAAAATTTTGACAGCATTCATGCAAATTATGGACCCATGAACCGACGGAAATAAAAGGATAACAAACATATACTTTCACATATATACTTGGAATGTATTGTAAATGTAACTTACTGCTACAAATAACTGACGCATCTTCATAATGTCCACAGTTATGTCTATTCCATCCTGTATGATTACAATATCTTAAAGATGATTCTCTTCCACTACATTTAACATCATCAAGATGAATATTTCCAGTTCCTTGTCCAAAGTTAGCACTTCCTCTAGCAATGGCACCTCCCCTATAAGTAGTCAATATTATTATACATTAATTATTGCAAGTACATATAAATTGATGAATAGAAAATATTAGTTCAGCGGTTTAAGTAGAAAACAAACTAATAACTAGTACGGGAGATTTTATTTTTAAATTGCCGATTGTGCAAGCATTCTTAATTCCGGGAATCATGGACAAGTTTGTTTATAATCAAAAGATCCTATGTAGATTTTTTCTTCAATTTGAACTTTTGACAGAACTGGCGATTATTGTTGTCACAATTAATATATCACAATTCTGCCCAGAAGATATAGACCCCCGTCTAACGAAGAAACTCATGCGGACACAACAAAAGTTAAGGCTGTGCATCCGAAACTATACTTTAATAAAGAAAACGTAAAATATAAATTTCCAACTTCAGTTAAACGCGGGGAGGGGGGGGGGGGGACTATTATCGCTTGGTTTGAATATACAGGTCAGTTCCAATAAGGCTGTGTGTTTGAAACACATCTATAAATCCATGGCAGGTTCGGATCTCTAGTGCCAAGGCAAAATGTTTCTTTCGAAATTATGGCAATCAATATTTTTACATTCTGGTAAAAATAAAATATATACATATAATTTATCCCATAAAAGAATCAACTGTATTGTTATCTGTATTATATTAAATTTTCAAAGCTTAATAGTCAAGATGTATGCCTTTTAAACGTCAATATTCTTTTAGCACCTTCAAGTTTTGTTGGGTAATGAATGTGAATTTAAAAGATATTCAGATCATGACATGAATTAATAAGAATATGCTTAGAATTAATACGGAAATGAAACCATTTATAGGTTAAAAGTAGCAAATGAAACACGGCAACACTGCATTACAGTTCTAATTTTATATGTAACTGAGAACTTTCATAGCATATACAAGAAATATTTCTCGATGGCACATCTTCGGTGATATTTATATGTTGTTTTCTCAAATGTAAAATTTAATGTATAGATACATGCTTTGAAAATTGTGATGTACACCTAAAAGTATTTCTGGTTTCGAATCCCCGGTTGTACGTGACAAGGTGTAGGGTCGCCTGTCCAACCTCGTGGGTTTTCTCCGGGTCCTCCGGTTTACTCCCACTGCTAAAGACCCCTACGCGCAAGCGAATTATGTAAATAAAATTAAACCATATGTTAGTCCCGAAATGACCTAGTTTGTGTCGAGTGGACGTTAAACCCCATTTCTCTCTCTCTCTCTCTCTCTCTCTCTCTCTCTCTCTCTCTCTCACACACCTAAAAGTATTTCATTGGACACAAATTTATCGTAGTGATTCCAACGTTATAAAATACGTACGAGGGAAATCCAAGCTCTCTACAAACAACTGATGCATCTTTATTGTCCCAACTATCATCACAAACTGTTCCCCATCGTCGGTTATAATATACCTCCACTCTTCCTTCATATGGCCCTGAGCCTCCTACTAATCGTACATCTAGAACAAAATAAAGCAATAGATTGCTCGTAAAATGCGTTTTCGTGAAAAAAAAATCGGAGGTGCTTCACTTTCATTCTACATCACTAAAGCCAAAAACATAGCCATGAAAACGGGGAACAATATCCCTACCATTACTGCACATACAACTTATAGGCTACAAGGGTAAGAAATTGTCAAACGGAATTTTGTACTTCCTGTATCCGATCCAAATTGGCAACCAAAAAAGCTACGTTGTTACAACGGTTTGCCAAAGTAATGTTGAAATGTTGTGGTAAAGAACTTGATAGGACTATAACCGATGTTAAAGTTGTGACGAACAGGAAGGTTTGTCCCGACAGCGGCGTTAACACCTACCCGTATTTCGAGTTCCAACCGTCCATGATTGTTTTAACGTGCACGTAAATATGTAAACGGGACCCCGATATTTCGTCTCAACCTTAAGACTAGCCTATATTTCTAATTAGGCTTTCTAAACCAGATTAGCTAGTCAAAAGCACGGTTTGTGCCCATTGCAATATAAACAATTAAGCGACTTTCAATCAACTCTTTGGAATTTAACGATACAATCGTTATTTAAGAAAGCGATAATGGGATTAGCATCGTTATCATGGATGGGAAATGCTATGAGAGCAGCGCCCTTAATAGTCCCGGTCACCCAGAACCTCCTAGTCTTCAACGTACGGAGGATCTGGGACCATGGTCAATATTTGACGAAAAGTTCCATTGCCCATGCATTCAGGATGTTTGTCCAGCCAATATTCTATAGTGCCTGAACACATAGGTCAAAGTGAAAGTTGCCATACATGTTACATAGTTAAGACAAAGTCTTCATCAGATAGATTTTCGGGAAATGCATTAACAAAATCTATGTCATCCCGAATAACAGATTTTACATTTGGCACATACGCCTTAAGTAAGATGTCAAGTACGTCAAAATCGATATAACGTGTTGCTACTTACGGCTACAAGTAACAGATGCATCTTCACTGTGCCCACAGTTATGTATGTTCCATCCATCATGATTACAATATCGTATAGATGATTCGCTTCCAGCACAGTTAACATCATCAAGTAAAATATTTCCAGTTCCTCGTCCAAAATATGCACTTCCTCTAGCAATGGCGCCTGTCCTACAAAAACAGAAAAGTAAAACAGTTTATCATACAGATGTAGAATTAACTGGTGTGAAGCACTGGTTGGTTTGAGGATTGTTATCTAGTGATATAAATAACATCCCAGTCGCTGTATTATTGATAGAATGGGGAATTTATATAATTAGAAAATTTCTATATTTAATTATCTGTAATGATATAATATAAATTTTCAATATTTCATTATTTGTAATTTAGAAAAAATATTAAATAAAATAAGATATACAGATCTCACAATTTAGAAATTTTGGAATTTGACCCATGTATGCACAGCTATTACAATTCTAGGGTTACCGTAACTCTAACTTCTGCTACACTGTAAATTTTTGAGGTGTTGTCCAAAAATAAATAGTAAGCAGGGCCAGATTAAGCTGGCATTGGGTTCTTGTATCAACAGTAAAAAGCGGGCATATTCAGGCGCATATTTGCAAGATTTTGTGACCATTACACGCGTAAGATCATGACTCGAACTTTGAAAATTTTGACATGGTTGGATTGAGGGAAACTGCTGTGTCTAAATTTGAAAAGTTTGTATATCATATTTATGATGCCAAATGTAACAGTATGAATAAGACAAGATACAAACCTTTCTGCACAAAATCAGCTAGTGAAAAGGATCCCCAGGCCCCAACTGTCCATTACGCAGAATATGCATATCAAAACATGTTAATTATCAGGCTTTATCGTTGTGGCTTTGAATGTCTAGATTTAATTCCCTTCCCCAACAAAGCATGGATGGGTTGTTGAGGATGATACCATAAATGACTACATCTGAGGCCATTTCGGAAAGAAATATAATCTTTTAAATGTACGGGCTTTCTCCTGTATAGGCTCCGCATGAGCAGGGCGGGTGGGGCCCAATCCCCCACCCCCATCCCTTGGACAAGCACCTATTGTTGCAAGTCAAAACGTTCTGGTACGGTTTTGTGTAAATTGTTCGAATGAAAAACCGACAATCGCTGAATGATTTTTCATTCAGAAACTTACATTGACATTGATTTCATTAGTAATGATGTTACTTACACTGAAATAAATGCTTCTAAGCCTGTATTTTACTTAAATTTACATTTATTTATGTATCTTTTAATTACAGTGGAAGCACTTCATAAATTTTTCAATAATAATAAATAATAATAGTGGTATTGTTGGATACTGCATGTAAAAATGTATATAATTGCATTTTCTTATTTTTTAAAAGGTATTTCTTTCTTTAAATAAATGTATACATATTTGATCCCTCTTATAATATCTTTTATATGTTTGCTTTTTTTTAAATAGAGTATACTTTATGTATATAAAGAGGGGGGTGTAAAGTAACTCATTATTAATACCCAGTTGTATCGTTCAGATGATATTATTATTTTTGTCTTTTTATATCAACATTATATTATTTTTATAGTGCCGAATTTTTCAGTCATGCCAACAACGTTTTGATCCGTACATATTTTTTTGGGATATTTTAAAAAATACTTGTTTCCAGAAAATATCTCATTGTTGCAATTTCCCCTTTGGCAATGGCATTATGTCACAGCAGTAACTTGAATATTGATTGGTTTTGAATTTATGCCACACATCAGGGCTTAGTCATGTTCATAGTCTCAACACAGCAGTAACCTGATGTTACTGTCCCATAATCCCAGCATATTTTCAGATAAATGTAAACAAACTAACATGTTCCGTCTCGTAAATGTTATTCCCTGGTCTATTCATGACTGTTGACCCGTAACCCAATGACTGTTTGCTTTTATGGTTTCTGATTGGCTTAGAATTAGATTTGTTCACCCCATTATGGCTACATTTGACAAAAATAGTTCGAGGAGTGATTCGAGTACTTTCATGATTGTACAATAATCCGTAAAAGAAAATATTACGAAAATGACGGTTTATTAGGTTTTTTTTATGAAAAAAATAGCTTCCTATTTCCACCTGCAATTTGCTGTCACGACATAAAAGGATTTTCCAGGCTAAATGACAACCTAAAAGTAAATCGTCATCAAATTTTAATGGCAGTATGGATTGGAAAATATTAAAATGACCAACCAATATTGTACAGGGGTTCGATATTGATGTAAAAATTTATACTCACGAAGACCATCCAACCTCTCGACAAATCACTGACGCGTCTTTGTTGTCCCAATTATCATCACAAACAGTTCCCCACCGATTATTGTAATATATTTCAACTCTACCCTCGAATGGTCCAAAGCCGTTAACTAGACGTACACCTAAACAATAAAAAACAAGAGATGGACAAAGAACAAGCTAAACATGCGATTTTTCGCATAATCAGGGGTCATAATCCAAAATGTTACAGTCTGACGTGCGACAATATCAAGAGGAACCATGATCTATGGGATATAGACATATATTTTAAGTTTCATCAAAATCGGATAAAAATTGTGATTATAGAGGGTTCACAACCTTGGTATTAAATACGAAATGTAACGGTGATATATCTGAACTGAACGGTTTTTAAAATTAAAGGGATCACAAGCTAAAAACGTGATATTCAGGGTCTATAATCCAGGAACATGTTACAGTCGTCCGACATGCGACAATATGAAAGGGAACCTAGATCTTAGGGATATAAACATATTTTTTTAAAAATTTCATCACCATAAGATAAAAATTGTAACCTCTGGAGGGTCCACATCCTTGGTATTACATACTTGTACACTGCAATATTTGCGTTCCAGTTTCACAAGCTAAAAAACGTTATTTTTCGTACAATCGCGGGTCATAATCCAGGCGCCGGTTTCACGAAATTTTAACTAAGATAAAATCCTAATTTTAGTAATTTGATTGGATGATATTAGATTGATTTTAGTGCTTAGCCAATCAAAATTGAAGTATCTACTAAAATTTGTATTTTATCTTTAGTTAAAATTTTGAGAAACAGGGCCCAGGAAGTTACGGTCCCATACATGCCAATATCGAAAGGAACCGAGATCTTTGAGAGATAAACCTAAATTGTAAGTTTCGTCAAAATCGGATAAAAATTGTGACCTGTATGTCCACAACAAAACTGTGTACAGACGGACTCGGGAGACGTGTAAATGTGAGCCTATAAAAAGGTAAATCTGGAAATGAACTTTATTTAAGATAAAGCAATATATATATAGACTATATATTACCTAGACCCACGAGGGGTGAAACAAAATAATTTCCAGACGTTCTAATTGTCCTGTGTACATGACCCACAAGGCATCCTTAATAAACACCAGGTAGCATTAATTATTTTAAATGTTTCCACATGAAATAACCCAGGTTCAACGATTTACAGGCAAAGGGAATGCAGAAACTTTGCTTTCATGTGATAGAAAATCATACAGAAAAGCTTTGAATTTGGATGGAACGCACCGACATGACCACATTAAAGCACACATTTATACCGAAGTTCATTTTTCGCCGGGAAGCCAAAGTAAAAAAAGAAAAATGTTCGAAATTCATAATAATTGCTATCACTTACGGCTACAAGTAACAGACGCATCTTCATTATGTCCACAGTTATGAGTGCTCCATCCAGCATGGTTACAATATCGTATTGATAATTCGCTTCCAGTACAGTTAACATTATCTAGATGAATATTTCCAGTTCCTTGTCCAAAATGTGCACTACTCCTTGCAATAGCACTTAACCTAAAAATAAAGAAATTGATCATATTAGCTTCAACCCGTTTAATAGGCAAGGAAGTACTTAAAGATATTTCACGTAGTTTTTTTTTTAGTTTCGGGTAACAAAATATTAAAACCGGAATCAGGGATGGGTTAAGACCTATAGATTTTGGTGGCCCATATAGTATAGAATTCAAAATGTAAACAATAATAAACCATAAACAATCCGTCAAGAGTTTTTTTTTTTGAGGTTTTATACGCGTCATTATATATTAAGACAAAGATGGTAAAAGCAAGGAAAGACGAAAACAATGAAAAACTAATTAAAAGTTCTTAATTAAAGATACACTATGTAAGATTTAGATAAAGAGCTAGCCATGCTTGCTATAATAGTTCGAAAATAGATAATGTAAAATGAATAATTTGAAAATTTCATTCAAATTACTCTATTGCGAGCGAACATATTAGCCTTTGAAGGTTTGACAAGACGTGTGCACTAATTCCAACCACCATACTGGTTGTTGGAAATCAAAATATGGCTGAACTGTTCTAATCTGTTTAATATCGGAGAAATCCAATGCCATCGAGAGTTGATTATGGCCTTGATTAATGCCTAATTAATAATTTTAAAAACAATTCAGGCCTAAAGAAAGACCTGCAATGGGCAGATTTAGCTCTTGCATAATGTATGTTTAATATTTAAATTAAATAATGAATTCGCCATCTAAGAAAGCAGAAATTATGTGGTGCCCCCCTTCTCACGATACCCGAAGCACGTGCTTATTTTGCTTAATGGTTAATCCAGGACATAACTAGAATATTTCGAATCCGTTTGCCAGTGGTAGTGAGAGCCTTTAGATATAGCTATAATGGGAGGTAGACAGATTAAAATAGAAACTAGAATAAACTATGAGTGGAAAATATCCGAAACACTTGTAGCCAATCGGTGAAACATTGGTTCGACATAAGTAGGTATATTTAAATACTACCTTTTTAAATGCATCTGTCTAAAGGGGGGGGGGGGCTTTCCCCCTTAGTTACGGGACTGAAAAGGCCAAATGGCAAAATTTGTCTTTGTGATCGATATTGAAAGCTTCGTTAAAAATCAGGAATGTGCATCCTGATTTATTGGAACGAAATAAAAATTATTTTATCCACTCAATAAGACAAAAGATGCTGTTTAAGCCTATATGCTAAAGTAACTTACATTTTGTCTAAGCTAGCCCAGATTACCGAAAAATATTATAAAATCAGCAATATTTTTTATCATCGTTTTATTGCATGAGAGTATCGCACATAATTTATCAACTACCTGAAAAATTGCTTTATTACTTTGAAATAAAGAAGCGGTTGCCATGCAAGATACACCTACAATTTGCAAGCTAAAAAAAGATTTGTTTTGTATAATCAGGGGTCATAATCCAAATTGTTACGGTCCAACAAGCGACAATATCAAAAGGAACCAAGATATAAAATATATTTTAAATTTCATCAAAACTGTAAGCCGTAGAGTGTCCTCAAACAAATGTGAACGGACACATGGACAGACGGACGGACTGGGGCGACGACAATATACGTCCACATAAAAATGTGGGCGTATATAGATTGGTCAAATTGAGCCCTATTATAATCTATATTCTTGATACCTACTCATCCATCGAAACCTGGTGCTATTTCATTATTGGGTATTAACGTAATAGTAATTTCCCAACCTATTAAAGTGTTTCTTTATGGACCCTTTGTCTTAGGATTTATTAGATAATGCCGCATTTAGATAATAATAATCATACTTACGAGGGAAATCCAAGCTCTCTACAAACAACCAACGCGTCTTTATTGTCCCAATGATCATCACAAACTGTTCCCCATTGATTGTTATAAAGTATTTCAACCCTTCCTTCATGTGCACCAAAACCACCTACTAAACGTAGACGTCCTAGAAAAAAAAATGTTTAGTCAAATACAATTATAAAGTGGTCAACAAAAATAATGCATATTAATTTTACAGTTATATGCTATAATTTATTCAGTGCAAGGTTTGATAACCTTTCTAAACATTCAACAAAATCCAATAATAGAGGGCATAGCATGGGGAATTATTGTTGAATTTAGGCCAGTAAGTATAATACACACGTTGTCGTTAAAATCATTATAATGTAATACTGCTAAAACCATCTAAACTGCTTACAAAAGTGGTTGCAGACAATGTGATAAATAATTGCATTGCTCAATTTCGGAGAAAGTCGAAGTTAGATGGCCCAAATATCAATAACAATACTTTCTACATTAATTATTGGGAATGGACATACCAGGGTGACGCCAATAAATAATTAGCAAAAAAATCTTACTGCTACAAGTAACTGACGCATCTTCTCTATGTACACAGGCAAAGGCAGTATGATTACAATATTTTAAAGATAATTCACTTCCTCTACATCGAACATTACCAAGTAAAATACTCCCAGTTCCTTGTCCAAAATACGCATTTCCTCTAGCAATGGCACCTCCCCTAGAAATAGAGTAATTTAACATGCCCGAACTTATATTATATTAACCCGTAGGTCAAAGTGCAAGAACATAATTGACCGTTCGCCAAACTGGCACTTATTTCTAGTTTAATTTAGCAAGTTTCGGAATGGTTTAAAAGTCATTTATAGAAAATATAATATATGATTTGAGTTTCATGGGTAAAACATATCCCTTAAATAAATAATACAAACTAAGAAACTGACGCATTTGCTCCAAATGGAGTTTAATGTTTGTGTTTCCATCAACGGAATTATTTAACCTATACAAGTACTTTTGTGTAGAATATCCGTTTACTTAAACATTATATTTATAGGACATTTTGAAACATTTTAAGTGTCTTAGATAATGATTACGGCTAATCGGGCAATAGGGTGAGTAAAATATAATGTACTATTTAGATGTTAATTCACAATAATATACTTACGAGGGAAATCCAAGCTCTCTACAGACCACTGATGCATCAGTGGAGTCCCAACCATCATCACAAACTGTTCCCCACTGTCGATTATAAAATAGTTCAACCCTTCCTTCGTGTGGTCCTGAACCTCCCACTAATCTTACATTGGCTGTTAAAGCTAGAAACGACAACATGCCTATATATTTTTACTTTGTTCGATGTTTAATTGGAGCCTTGCCGTTTACTGAAATAAACCTTTCCACTTTGAGGGTGTATGTGGGTGACAGTAACACGGGAATGGAAGGTCGCGGAATGTTGGATATCATTAAGTTTCGTAATGCATCAGATAAAATATGAATGAATCCGTTAAGAAATGTGACATCTATGGCGTTTGGGGATGGGGGTGTAACTCCGGAACGGAAGCATGAGAAAATGCTGAATCTCGATAGTGCTCGACTGGTCACATGACCCCGTGCTCACACTAAATTAGAAAGGAGGCGTGGGGAGTGGGGTGGGGCATAACTTTCGCTTATGGTTCCAATACTCCACAGAAATTCGGTTAAATACTAGAGCCTCTATCGCTTTCAAAAGGATTTTCTGTAAGGTGCATAATTCGGAAACGATTTGACATCTCTTGGACCCAATGCTTCATAACAGATTTGAAAACAAAATCCATTAAAACCAAAAAAACTATATTGCATTGACTAGTCAAATGCTGACGAACGGACGGACGGGCGGACTGACATGGTAACGGCCTACCGTTCATGCTAGCCCCAATAGTTTTGTGACGGGGTTAATATAAGATGCAATCAATTGAACACTAACTTTATCTCAAGGACTCTGATTAGAATGTTACAATGTCAAATGAACAATCCCACATTAGTGTAATTTTGCTCGTCCGCTCACCAGAGGCGACAATTTTTGGCGAATCTTTTTCAAACCTTGGGATAATGATTCTTGTGAGAAGACGACACTTTGAATTGAATTTGAACGCAATCGCTATTCATTTTCGGAGTTATGGCCCTTTAATTAGCTTAATTTGCCTTCCCGCTCTCTAGAGGCCACAATTTTTCCTTTCGGATAAGCTTTAATTACTTCAATTGCTAACTATGGCTGTTCTGTTGGAGTATTTCAACGCTTTACGTGGCTATCTTTCAAATTATAAATGATTCTTTTCAAAATTATAAGGGGATCACGTGGCTAAGTGGGTAAGACGCTAACTCGCTAGCCTGGAGGTCGAGATTTTCCGGCGTGGTTCTCCTTTGTCAGTGATGCAGGACGGAGGGGCTGACAAGGAAAGCTGTCTAGTCGTTCGGATGGGACGAAAAACCGAGGTCCCGTGTACACATTGGCGTGCACGTAAAAGATCCCTTGGCAGTTGGAATTCGATATAAGAGTAGGCCGTAGTGCCGCTGTCCGGGCAAAATTTCCCTCATAGCACACTGTATGGCGTATGCCCGTCTTCATTAGCCCAGGTTAGGAGCAGAACAGTAGGACGCTAAACTCCATTTCATTTCATTTCAAAATTATAAATGATATTTTTTTCAAAATTATAAATGAATTTTTTCAAAAATTATAAATGAATTTTTTCAAAAATTATAAATGAATTTTTTCAAAAATTATAAATTAATTTTTTCAAAAATTATAAATTAATTTTTTCAAAAATTATAAATTAATTTTTTCAAAAATTATAAATTAATTTTTGAGAAATTATAAATTAATTTTTGAGAAATTATAAATTAATTTTTGAGAAACTAAATTTTAAAACTATTCTTTAGAATAAGAAAATCAAGTTTAACATAAAAAATAAAGATCATGATTATGTTTATACTAGTAATTGTCCTACTCGCCAAGCTTGTTCTAGGTTACGGAACAAATGATTTTATAAAGGTGACTTACCAGATCTTGCATTTCTACGACATAAATGCCCATGCCACTAATTCAGAAAATAAATAAGAAAAAAATAAATAAATAACCAAAGTACCTTGAGGTAAGCTTGCCACTAAGAAAAGCCAAAATCCCAGACTGTTCATGTTACTTGTTTCGGGAACTCGCACAGTCCCTCTGCGACAAATTATAAGTCGGCGTGGTTTATATACATACTCAATTGACAATTTTTTTTTTTAAAAATACCATCGGATTAAAGGTGTCTGATTGGCTCTGTGAAATACTGTAAATTCAAATGAATCATATGACACACAGGATGATTGTAATGTGTCAAGAGATTTCTTTATACATTTAGGTTACAAAGGAATTTCGCGGGGCTTTTCTGCTATTACTGGTTCAACAAACTCACGTAGGAGTGAAAAACTGCACAAATTGCAACCGACAAAAAATGTCGGTTATGATCATAACATGAATATATTAGAAAAGTGAATTGAATTTATTATTTTGAGCCAAGCTATTTTTTCTGATACATGAAGGACATACAGTAAAAACTCAAGGGGTTGGTATGTTAAAAGGGAGCAACTAAAGTTCATGATAATGAACTTGGATATAACATATCACAAGATGCAGAATAGACACAATTCGAAATAGCATGAAAGATTTATACTCTGATCGCATGCACACTTATACATATCATGCAAATTTACATAGGTGTGATAATTATACGCAAGTGTGGTAGTTATACGCAAGTGTGCAAAACGGGTCATGCGAACGGAATTGGACACGTGGGCAAGTTTTCACTAGATGTAAATTTACATCATGTTAGGAGGTAGTGCAAATGTATATTTATACATGCGCATATCAAACACCATGTGCAAATAGTAACAAGCGAGCGAATAATAATGTTACTCACTTACTTTATATAGATGTCCATAACAATGTCAGTTAAATCCTCACATACCTCATGTGTGTGCGAATAGGTGTGTGAGTGTGTGGGGCTTGGCCATACGATTTTGGTTTTATAATTACTTACCCTGAAAATAAACTAGAACAAAGGTATTTCAAATCTGGCCGCAGTTCATGCCATCCAGAATTAATCACATGACCAAATGATCAATCAATCGCGAGGGCCAGTTTTTCAACGAGCTGAGCGGGATTTCAATGTTCAAACACCGTGTAGACATCAATACATCATTGGTCGATCGAAGAAATACATCATACTATACTGCCAAGGGTGGACACTGCCCTCGGACCAACTAGTTTCCTTGCGAAATCAAAAACCGAATGAACATAAATGGAACAATGTTTCAAGGTACTAAGCTCCTTGATAATTATACACCATACTTAAAACTCACGCGAACTCATAGTAATTGTACGACTTGAAAGAGTGGTTAATAATCAATATGAGAATTTTAATAGATTTTCTCTAATGATATGCGGGTTTAACATTCTACTTTACTGCACGGACTGGACTAATAAAGACTTTGGGGGTAATATTGCCCGGGCAGTGGCAAGGGTTCCTTTACGTGTACACGGGGCCCCGGTTTCTCGTTCCACCAGAATGACTAAACGCATATTATTTAAAATAAAACCCCCCAAAAAAACAACTAGACATGCGGTAGGTAGGTACAGTGTGGTGTATTCGGAGGAAGGTTAATCAGCTTTGTAACGTAAATCAAAGTTTCCTTCTGTATGGGGTGATTTGGACAACCAAAATTGAACGCTAATAAATAAGGAATAGAACGAAAATCGTAATAAAAAACACTTGATAATTTACTTAGGCAATGTGCCTTGAAGTGTTTATACTTGAGGTGTTAGGAATAATACAGGACAATATTTTGGTAAATTACGATGTAAAATTGATAATATGTTTCCCCATTTATAATTACAATAGGTTTTTTTTCTGTATTTATTTTTAAAACCTGCCCCTGCGATATCATCTCGGGCAAAGCGAGAGAGAGAGAGAGGAATGGGGTTTAACGTCCACTCGACACAAACTAGGTCATTTCGGGACTAACATATGGTGTGATTTTATTTCAATAATTCGCTTGCGCGTAGGGGTCTTTAGCAGTGGGAGGAAACCGGAGACGTTGGCTTGCTAACCCATAGTGCCCGGGTTCGATCCTGGTGTTGACCAAGAAAGTTCACATCGGATTCTTTCCGACGCAGTCCCCCCTTGTCAGTGGTGCATGCCGCATGGGGGTGGAAAGGGACACCGTATCGGTTGGATGGGACGAAAACCGAGGTCCCATTTACACATTGGCGTGCACATAAAAGAACCCTTGAATTCGACATTCCCTCAATGGCACACTCGTTTCATTCATTTCTAGACATAAAGGAGTATTCCAGTTTTGAATATATGATTTTTGAAAGCGGTGATTTGGCTAATCTGGTAAAAATCACATTATTGGCCTATCAAATTGTGTGTATTGATATACGGGAGGGGGAGCGTCTTTAATGTGAAATGCGAGAGGATCTGGCGGGTTTATGGATTACGGTTGAAAATGCCCGTTTTGGAAATATTTCGCGTGGAGTGTTTTCATAGTCGTAATTTAAAAGCGGTAAAGATGATGCATGTGCAATGGGGTTGAATGGTCGATTCACAATGATGGCGCAAGGACTATTACAAATTTTCATAAGTTTGAGACAAACTATACGACTGTAATTGAAACAAGCCAACAGTGAGGCTGATGTCCCTCGCCGACATCCCAAAATAAATAGATGACACATACTAATTAATTGCACATTTATCTTTTTTAGAAGTATCGAGCAATCAAACTAATTATCTAATCTTGGTCTAAGCAAAAAATGTTCACGATCGAACTCAGTCATGGTTTTGAAGTAACTGGTAGTGAAACTATACACTAAGTTTTATCACTCTCCATCAAGTAGAATCAAAATTATATTGTCCAAAAGAATTGCTTAGCTCTGCTTAGTTTTAGCGGAAAATGTTAATCATCGAACTCAGTCAAGGCATTCGCACAATGAATATCTACATCAAGTTTTAACATTCTATCGCAATTAAAAGCAGAGTTGTTATGTTCTAAAGTCTTGGCCAATCAAATTGCTTACCGCGACTTTGCCTAGGTAGAAAATACTCATCTCCGAACTTATCTATGGTATTGATATAATGAATCTATACTCCGAGTTTCATCACTCGCACTCAATTAGAACCAACGTTATAGTGGAAAATGTGCAGGCACGAACACTGTCAAAATGAAATGGGGTTTAACGTCCTACTGTTCTGCTCTGAACTGGACTAATGAAGACGGGCATACACCATACAGTGTGCTATGAGGGAAATTTTTGCCCGGACAGCGGCACTACGGCCTACTCTTATATCGAATTCCAACGTGCATTCGTCCCATCCGAACGATTAGACAGCTGTCCTTGTCAGGCCCTCCGTCCTGCATCACTGACAAGGATGAACTTTCTCGGCCAATGCAGGGATCGAACACCCGACCTCCAGGCTAGCGAGCCAGCGTCTTACCCACTTAGCCAAGAACACTGTCAAGGCATTCATCTAATAAACACCTACACCACATTTGAACACTCTACCTTAATTAGAAGAAGAGTTATTGTGTTCCAAGTCTCGACCAATCAGATTGAAGTATCGACTAGGCTTAAACAGAAAATGCTCATCATCTAAGTTAGTCAGGGTATTGATGTAATGACACTATAAACGACGTTTCACCACTCTCACCCAATTGGAATCAAAGTAATCGAGCTCTAAAGGCTTTGCCAATCAAATTAGTTATCGCTCTGCATATACCCTGAGGCGAAATGCTCATTATCGAACCTAGTCAAGGTATTGATATAATGAAACTATAAAACAAGTTTCGTCACCCTCACTTAATTAGAACCAAAGTTATTGTGTTCCAAATCCTAAAGCAATCAAATTGCTTATCCCTGCTTAGCCTTAAATACTCATCTTCAATTCCTTCAAGGTATTGACCCAATAAACACCCATACCAAGTTTTTACATTCTAACTGAATTAGACGGAGAGTTATTGTGTACCAAAAAGTGTTACGAACAGACACGCAGACAGACAGACGGACGGAGGACCCATTTTAATAGACCTCTGGTTTCACCGAAAGGCGTTGGACAATAACCTTAACAAAAATTATAATAAATTCAAGACTGTGCTAAAACACATTAATTTTGTTAAAGATTTTCATAAAAATGACCTTGACTACAAAATTTCAACAACAGCATAACTTGATGACCGACAACTCTAGTTCATTCTTATAACAACCCATTGGTATTCACAAAAAAAAATCTTATAGGAGCTACATGTAAATCGCTATTTTTTGTCATCTAGAAATGGACAAAAATGGGCCACAACGCATATTATAATGTAACCAGATTTACATTCAATTATGTCTATTTTTACTGTAATTTCTAATCGATTATGTTCGGCAAAATACGCGAAGAGTCTGAATTGAATGGCAGTCTTTGGCGTCTGGTTATTCCAGTCTACACCGCTAGTATTCTCTTACATGTCATATGTTTAGCCTCGGTCATCGATTCGCTTCATACAACTGGAGCTCGATAACTTTCTGGTACACAATTCGTGCGTCGTGTACACTATCGATATAATGGTTTCACGCGCCATTTGTAATAAACAAAGGACGCGGAGGTAATTAAAAATGGCGGGTTCACAAACTACAAAATATTAATTTTAAAAAAAATCAACAACAAATACCAGCGGCTGCCAGGCAGGATACGCCCACATTTTGTAAATGTGGGCGTATAAAAACGTGTAGAATGGACTAAGCAGGTGCAAACGACTGTCGTTGAGTTTGGACTGTTCGCGTTTTTGGTGAGAACTTACAATAAAAGACCCCATAGTAACAACATTTTGGTACAATTCCTCGGTACTTCACAACTTAACAGTACTATTAATTGACATAAACAATCGCATTGGATACGCAACTTGAAGTCAATGCTACGATTGTTAACATTTCGAGTTAATTATAATGCACGATTCCACTCTAATTGTCTCGTACACGATTCCGCGCTTATATACTTATTCGCTGAAACGAAATATTAAATCTTTATAACGAAATATTAATTCCTTATAACGAAATATTAATTAGTTTAAACGAAATATTAATAGGTTTAAACGAACTATTAATAGGTTTAAACGAAATATTAAATCGTTATAACGAAATATTAAATCGTTATAAAGAAATATTAAATCGTTTAAGCGAGATATTAAATCG